GACTTGAGAAATTAACAAGTACAAGGTAAAGATCGTGTTGCAAATTATTTATCCGATTAGCTAGTTTACCAAAGGCAACCAAGACTTTGATCGGATATTGTACAAAAATAGAGCTCGTATTCAATGCTCAAATAGGCTTGATTCAAGCAAAAACACAACAACTTTAAATTATATATGCATTTCTTTTTCATTGAGCTGCAAAAAATAAACCCGCTTTTTGACGATTTCTAAACTCGATTTTGGAATGGTATTTAAATGTGAGAATATGTTCTCAAAATAACAATTTCGAACAAATTGAGTATGACGATTCAATGCTAAAATTTGCGATATAACAAACGCCCATTTGTGCGAGTTCTTCGCTTCGAAAACACACTGTATTACAATATGTAGGTATATACACCTCCCAGAGGGATAAATGGAGGCAATAATGTAGGGTATATGGAAGGAGTGCAGCACCCGCCCCGCACGATCGTGTGGAGCTAGTTGTCGTAGTCACGACGTCGACGACTGGTCTGCGGTTATCAGTTAAGTGTTGGGTTTGTTTTCATTTTGCTTATGTATTTTTATTGCCACTTATTTGCACACAGTTGTCCAACTGTGTCTGTATACATATGTGTGTGTGTGTGTGTGTGTTCCGTTGTATTTGTTTAAACGAGAATTGAATTTGTTTTACGCTATGCCAAGTGGTTGTTTAAGTCGCCAAGGGCAGTTGATTTGGGGTGGGTTCTATTTAAAAGGATTTGACGCACAATAAAAACAAACATCAAATTAATTGCGTCCAGAAGCCCCAATAGCAATGACACATACATTTGTCATTCAGCGGCGACTGCTCCACACCTCAGACCCAAGCTGCCAAATACATCCTTATTGCTGTGTTGCAAAACACTGGGTGTGTTTGTCTGCGATGATAGGTAGACTCCTTATGGGCCGCCCACTGGCTGCCTTATACGCGCACGCACACAAACGCACAGACACGCACTCTTGGTCACACTCACACTCGCACAGAGAGTGTGGGGCAACAATTGATTGTTACACACGTTACATGCACTTTGTAGATTTTGCACATTACATGATATACGCAGCAAGTAGAGCGGATTCGCACACTTACGTGCACCGCACGCACAACAATATTAAACTATTAACCAAGTGTAGATTCTAATAAGCAACCAGAGCGACGAAAAATCGTTGTTACAATATCAATTGGCTTTTGTACGCTACGGTCACACTTGATACACTTAGTTGGGGATGATAAATAAATGAATGGTCTATCGATACGATACACTTCGATATATCGGTTTTTGTGTATCGAGTAGTCATCGTATCGGTCTAGGAAATAGCTGAAAATGAATATGATTGCTTGCGCAGCAGTAGCCACTGTTGTTTACATTTACTAAATTTATTTATTACTTTCTTTTTATCGAAATGTAATTGCAAATTAACTCGCATTGCTTATTATCTTCATTATTTAAAATAATCCGAATAAAAAGCAAATTTTATAATTAATGAGAATATATATATATATAAAGCAACAATCGTTAGCCATAATTCATGTTTGTACTATGCGAGGTCTGGTAAGCGCTAGATATGTTCTTCTGGGACGTTGATTGCTGCGTGTGGTGCGGCTGATCTGTGGCGAGATGGTTATTTTCTTGACACCATTCAACAAAATCGTCAATAAGCACGGGCCAAGCACCCTCTGAGTCATAGTTGCTCATCCGATCATCGATGTTGGTGGCAAAATCTAGCAGCAGGTTCCAGGTGTCCCTTGAAATCGCCCGCTTGTGTTTCTCTTCAAGGAACTTGCACCAAATGTCCAAGAATTTGAAACGATCGCTGAGCACAATGCACCAATATGCAATGGCCATATCCAAATCAATGCCCTTCTGGCCGGGATCCTTCGCATAGTTAAAAGTGAAGTGGTAGAAATCCTTAAATTTGCCCGCATCATTCAATTCCTGTTCCAGCATAGGCAATTTCGACTTAAGCTTCTCTATACTGTCTGTACCCAATTCGCACATGCCATTGATGAACTCATCCCGCGAAAATTCGCATTGCACTTCGGCGTGAAACTTCCAGGCAATTATGAGTACAAGCTTGGAGTCTGGACTCAGTTCCAAATCCTCCAGAAATTTAATTACGCCCTGTGAGCTGATCTTTAGGGCATCAGTTGGATCACGATAGCGCATAAATAACTGCTCGATCCTTTTGCGATCTAACTCCCTATAATAGTATTCGGGATTCTGAAAATAGTTATCGCTGGCCAAATCCATTTTCCAATCATTCTGTTGCAGGCAGAAGATGGCCGTCTGTTCGCCAGTTTGTGTTAGCGAGATAAATTTTTTCACCTTGTCACGGTGTTGGCTTGACTTTAGTTTGTTCTGCAAAAATAAACAAAATTAACGAATAGCCACTACCAATACACACACACACACACACACATGCACACACATTTTATGTAAATGCACATTGCATAAATACACCAACTACAATTTGTGTGTGCGCTGGCGCTTGTGTGCCAGGAAGAAGCAGCAGCTAGCAAAACAAACACACAAATTGCCTCTGGCATAATACACTAGAAACACAAGTATATAAATAAATTTGCATTTCAATTCTGCACTTACCATGGTCTATATATTGTATTTGTTATTATTTACTTATTATTAGCAAAGTTTTCTCTGCGTTATTGTTTCGACCGTCGAAACTCAGAGATGCCTTAGGTATCGATTCCTTCGCACCGATTTGGCAGCACCGTAAGTGGCAACACTTAATGGTTATCGATAATTTACATCTGACTCAATATTGATTTTCAGAGAAGCAACAACAAAAATAACAAGAAAACAAAGCAGACGCAAATCCTTAGTGTAAAAGTACCTAAAATACAGCCAAATGCATACCCAATGGCTGCTGCTGGTGCTGCTCTATGCGGTGGCTATTCAAGCCAGCGATATTACAAGTGTTGTATTTGGTGATATTAAGGAAGGTGTTGTGGCAGCTTTTGGTGACTTTAATTCCGATGAGTTAACTGACATATTCGTCATTCAAGATGACAGGAAAATGCTACAAATTCTATTTGGTGAGTGTATGCTTATAGAAGAAGCTTTATACAGTGGACCTAATAAATATTATCAGGGGCTGATACGGAACCGTTGCTACGAATGGGTCCTATATGCTACTTTGAGGCCAGAAGAATTGTAAGCGTAGTACCTGGCGATTTCGATGGCGATGCTCTGATGGATGTGCTGGTCAACGTGGAGAGAAGCAAGGATATAAATGACGTTTACATTAATTGGGGCAACACAACAATGCTCAATTGTTCCGCCAAACCCCTCTTCCAAACTAAGGGCGAGGCAATGGCGCTCGATTTTAATCATGACATGATCATCGATTTGTATGGGCTCGACACAAATGATACACGTACCTTCTGGATTTTTAATAACAAACGCGATCCACCGATTGTTGTGCACCAGGCGATGCCCACCGGGGGGACAACTCAAACTCTAACCATACCCAATGCAAATGCATATTTGGATCTAAACGGCGATTATCTAGCTGATCTGTTTTTGCAAACCAAGACTGCCTACGAGATCTGGTATGGCATCAATGAGCGGGACGGCCAGGAGAACTTTAGCTATCAGCGTGCCATTCCCTATGAGTTGGTAGGCATCAACGATTACGTGGTGGGTCAAGCCGTTTTCATGGACTTCGAACTGCGTGGCGTGCAAAATATTGTGGTGCCATATTGTGTACAGGAAAATTGCAAAAACTCAACAATATTTGTTCAGGACGGCAGCCTTTTCTATGATGTTCACGTCAATTTTAAGGACCCACAGGGCGTCACATGGGCATTTGTGCCACCTGATGCGAATGATGTATATCTGAAAACTATTACTGCACGCAGTGGCGACTTCAATTTGGATGGCTATCCAGATTTGCTTGTCACACTGCATCCGTTAAGCGTGGCAAAGCCGGTCATGCAAACGTTTCTCCTGGAGAATGTCGCCTGCAAGACGTGCAGCAAGAAATTTAAGCGCACCTTCGAAGTGCGCTGGAACGCGTTGGCTCCCATGGGAAATAACACAGTCGCTGGCGCATTCTATGACTTCTATCAGGATGGTGTCCTAGATGTTATACTAATGCAGAAGCTGCCGAATGGAAATTATCGTCCACTTGCTTTTCGCAACACGCTCGATTACGATGCCAATTTCGTCAAGGTGATTGTGCTCACTGGTCTGGTGAATCCGCAGAATCCCACATCGCGCACACCTCTAGGGCGCAAGAAGCGCACGTATGGCAGCAATTTGCCTGGTCCAATCATTACCTACAGCACAACCACACAGGATGGCGATCAGCAAATTGGCAGCAGTGTCCAATTGCCGCAGTCATCTTATTTTGCGCTTCAATTGCCCTACACATGCTTCGGTTTGGGTCGCACGCCAAATTTTGTGGATCAGCTGGTGGTGGGACTGTATGGCAAGTTTCACAACTGGACGCAGCTCATACCCAACTCGCAGATCATAGTGGTGCCCAAGCCGCTCGATCAGCCACAGCACTGGAAAGCGCTGCTCTTTGTGACGCCCAGCAAACTAATCCTAATGAGTGTAATCGCCCTGGGTGGCACTTGTCTTGTGATTGTGCTCATCATCTTGGTGCTCTATATTAAGGAAAAGCGAGAGGATAGGCAGGAGCGTTTGCAAGAGTCTCATAGATTCCATTTCGATGCAATGTGAGCAGTATCTTAACAATATTTCATCAGCCAATTGCAAATGCTTTATTGTATATTTATCTCTTTAATTTGTTTAACACAATTTCCCAATTTCCCAAAATGTTAGTTGTTTTCTACGTTAAAAAACAACTAAAGCGCATTCGCAGTTGGTTTTGTCTACAGTTTAGACTTTAAAGTAAGATAAAGCCGTACCGTAGAACCAGCTGGGAATCAGTGCATAATAATCGTTTAATAAATATGTAGTTTAAAAAATGTGATAAAATAAAAATCCAATATATATAATAATAATGACGATGCGTGTTTCGTTTAGTTGAATTAATGGTATTATAAAGGAGAAGTTAGTGATAGTAAATTTCTAAACGAAATACATGGGATTACTTCTCAAAAAGGCCGGCACAATCAGCCGGCGCTGATACTCCTCTTTCGGCGAACGGGACAGACGAGCTCTGTTATTTGAGAAACGGAAAATCAAATTATTGGCTTCGTATGCTATATTTCAACTTTCTGCCATTCTGTTGCTTACCCAGTAATATAAACACGTCCACGTGCCGCAGCCAAGTGAGCCAAATAGGCTGGAGCTGGATACGATACGGAACGATTGCAGCGTGGAAACATGTGGCATAAATTGTAAGTCAATTGTTGCAATAAATCAATATCCAATTTGCCAGTGTTTTCAATAACATTGTAGCGTGTGGGCTTAGCGGTGCCCTGTATAGATTGATGGCTAACCATAAAGAATTGCATCTCGTTCGGATGCACAATGGTGCGATCGACCACTGTGCCCGGCTCAACATTGTTAAATTTATTATTTCTTGGATTCGACGGCATTCCCTCTGGAAAGAAGCGTGTGTGATGGCGTTTCACTACAATAATACAGCACATTTTTGGCTTGATGCCCAGCTGTAAATCAATAAAATCATTTATAAATCAAATCGAACACGTTATCAAATGTAATTTACCTTGGTACAGGCCACATAGATACCCTTTAACTCGATGTTCTGAATTTTCAAAAACTGGCCATCGCTAACACCATCCCGATAATATATAATGTGATCCGGATAACGCTTCTGATACTGCTGATAGACACGCAAATGTTCGGTTACAATGGATTCCATGTCTTCGATTTCTTCTCGGGCGCCACCACCGCCGCCGCATTGCAATCTATATTGCATGTTGTATGAACCGCCATGCATGTCGTGCGATGCAGCCACGCCCACTACACTGGGTATATCACGTTGATCGGGTGAAGGATGTGTCACATCAGCACCCAAATACATGACGTTCGCTAGCATAGTGCGTGGATCATCCTTGAGCTTATGATTGACACCGTTCAGCTTGGAATTGACCTTTAATAAAATGTTGCCAACTAATTGCCCGTTCAGGCGACGTTCCACATTGTTTTGCTTGATGCACTGCGTCAATATGCCATACTGGAGTTCGGCTTTCTGTTTAATAATGTCATAGGAGGGACCACGCGATGCTAAGATGACAAACACCAGATCGTATTGCTGATCTTTAAGATCCTTAAAATGTACATCTAAATTTCGAGCGTCCCCAAAAGTGCGTATGTCAGCCTTGGGCTCCAGGCATACGTTGACATACCTGGCTTGTTGTATCACCTAAAAAACGCTCACATTAGAAACTAAAGATTACCGAGATGCCAACACTAACCAAATCCTGTAATTCGGCAACCTTGTTGTAATGCATGCGTGCGCCCTCGAAATGGAGTATGGCCCATCTGTGGGTTTTTGGCTTAACGACCAAAAATTGTAAGTTATCCATGCGCCACGATCCGTTGAATGGTCTTGCAAAGTTTTTTTTATGGTACTCCAGTTGCGGCGCAGGCAGTTGCCGTGTGCTTACCGTGATGAAATCGCCAGCAACGTGTATACCAAATCGGCTAATAACGGGATCACTATTGTGTTTAAAGTATCTCAATAAATCCAATATCTTAGCCTTGCGTTCATTAGTCGATGTGGCCGCAAATTTGATCATTTCCGATACTTGATTTGTGCCATCCTTGCGCTGTATTGAAAATCAAAAATGAGAATTACTGCGATATATACACAAAAATAACAGGACGACAAAATGAGTTGGAAATAGCCTATGCGTCATGTGAAAGCTTGACATAAGCCTTTTTTCGGCATATTTCATAGAGCTACCATAATAAAGTTCTTAACATACAAGCGAGCCTTGACCCTCAAGGAAATACTTAATAATATAGCTCTCATTAAAACGATTGTTAAAATTAATATTATTGAAATACCATTGTGTCTGTAGGAGTGTTTAATCTCCGGCAGACCAGAAATGATTGGTTGTCTATCTACTTTCTTATAAATATATCATTCAATATATATATCATACTTACATTTAGAGCTTGGCCCTCCTCAATGCGGCACAGCTCCATGGGCAAGTAAATGTACTTTGATGGTGGCCCAACGTGAAGGCACTGCAGCTTGGGAAACCGCAAAGTATAATTCCGGGAACGGAAGTATTGATCTACGGTCTTAACTTCACCTTCTAATTCAAATTTCTGCTCGTTCGCCGGTTTTTCTGACAAGCCGTTCACCTTATATACGCGAGGTGCGCTCCCAAAGCATTTCGGCGGTTCGTACACGACATTGATGCCCTTTATGAAGGGTATTAAGCGCAACGTATTGTTAAGCGTAGTAGCTGGGGTTATCGCCGACTGCAGCCCATAGCGCTCCAAATACTCAATCATTGACATTGCAATTGGGAACGACTTATGCGATACATCGACATTTACAAATGGTCTATCGCCCAACACAAAGCTCTGGTAAAGACCAACCAATGCCTCATAGCCGTCTCCCAGATCGCGACGTTCGCCGTTGTCAGAGGTTTTGAAATAGGAGCGACCGGCTCGTATGGATCGTGTATGACAGGGTACTGCGAATACTACCTCTAGACACTGCAGCGCCCGCATTGGCTTGTCATAGATCTTGTCGTTCATATAACTGCAAAGTATATCAAAATTACTTTCAATTTTCAACATTTGGCGTGGCCCAACCTGCGCAGTGAGCTGAGCTCCACCAGAGAGTTATCCGTATCTTTGATAGTCAAAGTGTAACGGACCGTGCGACCATGAGGATCAATGACCTGCAGAAAGAACAGCAATTAGATTAAGAAAACATATATGTTAAGTATTTGGCGCAGACTTACCTCCACTTGGCCAGTGACATTGGGTAGCTTGTCGACAGAATAACAGGATTTGCGTCCATCGAAGGCAGCAATACCGTTATCTAAATGCTTTGCGCGAAACACTTCGAAGGCTTTGCGGTAAAATTTTTTCGGGCGTTCCGGTACAATGGTCACATCATAATGATATGCAATGTCGGGCATTTTACTTATGTCCACATCCAAGTAATTGACACCCACTCTACCAGCATTTCCAATGGTGCCCCGCTTAATGTTTCCTGTTTGGGGCAATAGCGGGGCCAAGGCACCGCCTTGCGTTCGCTGACCTTGTGGTGGACCGCGCTGCTGATAACCACCCTGTTGACCTTGTGGTGGACCGCGCTGCTGATAGCCACCCTGTTGAGCTGGGGGTGGACCACGCTGCTGATAGCCACCCTGCTGAGGCCCTTGTGGGCCGCGCTGCTGATAGCCACCCTGCTGTTGCCCTGGTGGGCCACGTTGTTGATACCCGCCTTGCTGACCGCCACCCTGTGCACCGCCTTGTGGACCAGACGATGGGCCACGCTGTTGATAACCGCCCTGTTGACCGCCGCCCTGCTGACCGCCGCCCTGTGCACCGCCTTGTGGACCAGAAGATGGGCCACGTTGTTGGTAACCGCCCTGCTGACCGCCACCCTGTGCACCGCCTTGTGGACCAGACGATGGGCCACGCTGTTGATAACCGCCCTGCTGACCGCCGCCCTGTGCACCGCCTTGTGGACCAGAAGATGGGCCACGTTGTTGGTAACCGCCCTGCTGACCGCCGTCCTGTGTACCGCCTTGTGGACCAGACGATAGGCCACGCTGTTGATAACCGCCTTGCTGACCGCCACCCTGTGCACCGCCTTGTGGACCAGACGATGGGCCACGTTGTTGATAACCGCCTTGCTGACCGCCGCCCTGCTGACCGCCGCCCTGTGCACCGCCTTGTGGACCAGAAGATGGGCCACGTTGTTGGTAACCGCCCTGCTGACCGCCGCCCTGTGCACCGCCTTGTGGACCAGAAGATGGGCCACGTTGTTGATAACCGCCTTGCTGGCCGCTTGATTCTTCCTGTTGATTCCTTGGTTGTTCACCCTGCTTCCAACCTAGTTGGCGTTGCTGTCCTCCTTGCTGTTGTGGTCTGTATTGTTGTTGTTGCTGTTGTGGACCACGTTGTTGTCCACCCTGTGGACGCCGCCATTCTCCTTGTGGGTTTTGGCTTTCAGGGTGCTGTTGCGGACGCTGAGTCGCAGGTACGCCATCGTCGCCTGCCTGCAACCTGGACGTATTCTCTCTAGCCGCAGCACTTGTTGACGGTGCGGGGGCTGCAGCTGCAGTACATACATACATATATGAATACCTTAGTTAAGGCAATACATAAGCCATGACGTTGCCGACATGGTAAAATACGAGTTGTGTGCTTCCCCTTTAAATATTTAACTTGCGCCACGTATAAAAGCTTTGCTCGATTTGGACTAAAAGATAGCCATGTAGATAACAGACAGGTGAATCAGGTGATTCCCCCACAAATCCGAAGCTTCCAGAAACTTCGCACACATGCATTCATTTGTATGCACACCCAAACACACGCACACACACACACAAACATGCAACTACTGAGCCTGATAAGCACACCAACCAAAGCATCAAATTAAACATATGCAATAGAATATATGTATATAGATGCATTTCACAATTTTATGAAACTTACTTTGTTGTTGCTGCCGTTGTTGAGGAGCTGGTGCTGCAGCCTCTTTATCGTCCTTCTTATATTCTGAAAATTTCATTTTTATTGTTGAAGTTGCACCAAAAAATTGCAAATCTTATATTTGACAGTACTTACTGTTCTTCTTTCCCATTTCTTCTTATTATTTTTTTTAATCTGTAAGGATTTGCTAATAAATGTCAGAACAATATTTTTTGCGTTTTGCGTCTGATTGTTTTTAGTTCGTTTTACTCTTTATGTACTTTTCGCGTTACCCAGCATTGCTTAAATGTTGCCAAGCACTGTGCTGGGATAAATGTTGCAGAGCGCAATGTTGTCTGCCCATATATATCGATAGTTGTGAACCAATACTTTTTTATTATCGAAATTAGAATTTAAATGTGACTCGTAACTGAAATGATCTAAAAAAAATATGGCTTGCCGGTTTGTTATTTGAATCGCCTACGGTTGATATTGAAGTAGACTCAAATATAGCCCAAAATCACACTGTTTCTGACAATCTTTAAAATGTCTGCCAGCTAAGTCCGTATCATTTGAGTAGAAATCGCTTAAATCGGCGATATTTTTTAAAGATTTATAGCCCATGTTTTAAATACCACAAGTTTTCGTTGTCGTTATGGTTGTATCAATTTTATTTGGAATTGCACTTTTATTTTGCCCAATTACAGCAACCAATTAAATGTTTTACAATTTTTTTCTCAATATTTTCTCAATTTTTTGTACGCGTTAAAAATGTTGTTGCCAAAAAATAACATATGGTCATATGGTACATACTGTATATATATATACACATATATATACATATATATATTTATATATAACATGTTTGTATAAATATATTGTATTTCTCAATTTTTTTTTAACGCATTTGAATAAAATTTTTCATTGCACAAATGTGGTTTAGAAATTGTTATCAACTTGATTTTGTTGTAATTTTCTATAGAATTTGTATATAAAATTTTACTAACAATTGCACAACTTCGTCCGCATGATTTATATACATTAAAATAGCTACAGTAATTATACATTTAGATATATGGTTTGATAAGAAATCAATTAACGCTTAAAGGTTGGTTTAAGTAAATTTTGTGTATGGTAAATTCAACTAATATAAACTAAAATGACTCATACATGACAAAACATACAAATATTATATATATATATATATATATATATATAAAATAGATTGTGGAAAACAAGAATAGTTATGCCAAATAATTGCACTATAACATTAAATTCAATTTTTTTAAACAAAATCTTTGCTGCAAAGTAAATGATATTGTAGTTGTTGCCATTGTAATGCACTTGCAATTTGCTTCAGCGCTTCACTTAAATTATAAAACTTAACAAACAATATTTTCGTTTTCTTCTTTTTTTTTTCTCTTAATAATTGGCTCGGAAATTGCTTAATTTGTCCAGGCAACAGACCAATGTAAATTTCGAAAGCATCATTTCAACTAATTAGCTTCAAAATTCATTTGACGATTCCAGTTGCGGCTGGTAAACAATACAAAAAAAAACTTAAATGCTGCGTAAAAACATAGTTCGTCAATATGTACTAAAAGTATGCGCTACATAAGCATAATTCATACATAGTTATATATGGAATTGTTGTCGATTTTTACTCATCTTTTTCTTTTTTTTTTTGCATTTGCTATGTTTTTGATTTTTTCTTTTGTTGAGAAATTTATCGTATAAAGGAACAAGAGTCTTGACAAACAAAATTCAAAAAACCGTTCCGCATGCGGAAAAACAGCTCTGAAAGTAGTTTGTACAATCAAGCATTATTAAAACATAATGTACATGTCGTTGCTCTTAAATCAAATCGAATCATTGTTTTCTTAGAGCCCACATCTGAGCATGCCATATGCGTTTTTGGTGTTTGTTGTTGTTAACAATATTATAATGTAGCTTCTCTTTAGACGCTGATTATGTGGGGTTCATTTGAGCTTGTTGGTTGCTGATCATTATGTCTACTCTTTATATCAGGTTATATAACAGGAATGCATGACTAATAATATAAGATACAAACTATAAATAGCTAATTATACATTAACGATACAGTGCATATATATATATATATATATATATATATATATATATATATATATATATATATATATATATATATATATATATATATATATATATATATTTATATATGGTTTCAGTTATGGGCTGCTAAATCTTAAGAGATGCTGGCAGGGTTATTTTTGGGGGAATGTTTACCGCTTTGTGCTAACCAAAAAGCCAAAATTTAAATGTTCTTTCTAAACTGATAAATTCTTAAACAAACAAACACTTTCACACGAAACTCGTTCTGTTTTCGATACAACGAAATAAAATAAAATAATAAAATAAAATATCTCTCGGGCAGGCAGGCAAACATGAACCGTGGCCAGCATTGGGCCTTGGTATCAGGTTTAGGACTTTTTCACATTGTGCTTGCTAACTAGGGCCTGCAATTTGTGCAGCTGACTAAGTAGATTGGCATTGGTCTCCTCCAGTGACTCAAGGCGCTTCTTGTAATCATGATTTTCAGTAACCAAAATTTCCACTCGCCGTTCTAGCTGATCCATGTACTCTTTCTTTTTACGACGACTTTCCTGAGCAGAGATCTGAAAAATTGTGACAGACATTGGTCAATAAATGCTCCACACCTTTTTTTTTTCCTAAACTAAGCTTCCATATACCTTATTTTTAATTTTGCGTCGTATCTTCTTGAGCGATTTCTCTTCGGCTTTGGTGAGTGGCAGCTTCTGTGGTATCGGATAGCCCTCAGCGAGCAGCGTGCGTTTCTCTTCCTCTGTCAATAGCAGAGTGCCCGTTGAGCCTTTCTGCAAGTCCGAATAATCGCAATTAGTTTCCAGTTGTAATATATTAATTAGATCTAGATATAATTACCGGCTGTGAGCTGATTAACGGTGTGTGTATGGGCTGCCTCGTCGATGGTGCGGCCGTGTTGGAGGCACCATTGCTACTGGCGGCGCGGGTTATGGCGGCAGCAGCCCGTCGCGCGCTACCATTGTTTGCGGTTTCACCATTGGCGGCTGCATTGCTCACGGCGGATATGGAAACGGAAGCATTGGGCGACAGTGGCGCATACAAATGTTCCGGTGACAAGTTACCTTCCGAGTCATCGCTGGGCAGAGAGGAAGGCGGTGTCAGCGGAATGCCATAAGCATGCGATTTGCCCGTGCTGTTGCTGGCGTTGCTTTCTTTCTCGCTCTTGATGGCCATCTTGGGCAGCATTAGGCCTTGGCTGCCCTGGCCAAGCAAGAGCTGTTGCTGCTGGGATTTGATGAGGCTGTTGCTGCTGGTGGCAAGCAGAAGGCCACCGTGCTGTTCCACATAGGAAAATAAAAAACTGTTTAGCATAGGTCTGGATAAGATGTTAAGGCGGGACTGTGTGTTACCTTTTGGTCGAAGAGCAATTCTGGCTGCAAATTGGCCAGATTAAGGCTCAGCTGCTGGGCGCTGCTGTTCTGTGAGTTTGGACTGGCGGGGCAGCTGGAATCTGGCGACATCGGCTCATCCTTAATGATCGCCTCTTCGATCTCAATGTCTGAGCATATATCCGGTGATATGCTGCCCTCCCGGGCCGATGACACCGATGAGCTGCAATCGTTGTCGTCGTACATTTCCGCCAAGTGTTGAGGTAGTTGAAAATGTTCCAGTGAAACGTTGATGCTGCCGTTACCACTGCTGCTGCCGCTGCTGTGCTGCTGCACCTCGGCATTGCTGCGTGCGACCGCTGTGGATGCAGCCGCCAACTCCGTAATGGCTGTGCTCAATGCGGAACTGGCGCTGCTGCTGCTAATGCTGCTCAGCATGGCGGTGCTGCGGCTGTTTCTTGCGGGCGGGTGTAGTGTCAGGCATTTTGGATCGATGGTGATGCGCCCACTTCCAGAGTAGCACTCGTCATCCATATCTGCAAGGGCGAACAGTCGAAACATTGTAACTTGGCCAACATTGCAACTTATATTTCAAATATATTCATAAATTTTAAATTGGCGCTTCTGCGAATTTGACCTGTCATCCAATAAGAATGTATGCATCTGATTGGAGCTGAATAATCGGATGCGTATCGTGGAACGTGTTGTTTACCGTTATTCACAACCGCAACGTATTCGTTTTACGTACTTAGTGCTTACGTCTTTTGCTCACACGTTAATTCAAATAATATCGAATAATGTGTGCGCGCAAATATTGTGCTGGGCAACCTACTTTTGTTGAATGTTTCTTTCTATGGCCCACGACTGAGTGGTATTTAGCAAATATTGTACAACAATTTGATGTTCTTTTCTGTAACTGTACAAACAGGGCCAAACATTGGATCACTTGCCACCGGGGCGCGCGTCAGCAGATGCTTGTGGCATGACACTTGTGTTTGCATTTGATAGGTATGTTATATATTTTATTTTGTTTTGTTTTGTTTTTGTGTGTTTTGTGTTTTGTGTTTTTTCAGCCACGTTCTTGTCGCTCGCCCGCCCTGAATGGTCTTTTTTGTCATACATTTTAATTTTATTTACACAGTTGTTGTACAGTTTCCATAAAATTACAAATAATAAAAAACAGGCCAGCAGCAATTATATACCGTGTGTCCATATACATATATACGGGAATATTACCAACAACAACAACAACAACAATAACTGATATCGCGTCAAAGTACAAAACTTCATGCACGAGTACTGCGTTAAATTGCTAAATGCTACCGCGACATTAAAAAAAAAAACAAAAAAAAACAGAAGCTGTTCAACTGTTTTTCATGTTGTCGTTCACTATGTACATGGCCTTAATTCACAATGGAGCCACCAACTGGCAACTGTATTTGTCTTGGCTTTAACGAGACAACCAAAGCGTAAACTCAAGAGAACAGAACAGTTAACGTTACCGTTATCCAAAAATAAAAAAGTAATCGATAGCAATTAATCGATATCACTGAATGCAATTGCAATACCTACCATCGATCTTGGCCTGCAGGCTTTTTGGTGAATCGGGCAGGGAGTCACCGTCGCTGTTGAGACTATAGGAATGCTCCGTTTTGATTGGGCCCGTGCCATTGAGCAGCGCGTCGGAGATGAGCTTGTCGTTTAGTATGACAGTCGGATCCTTGACATCACGATCGTAAAACCAATCGTGCATATCATGATCACTGCTTATTTTCAAGGATTCCGTCTGTAAAAATATCAGCAGAAAAAAAAAACAATAGCAAAGGTAATTAGTAAATGTACACACGGCATGGAGTCGTAGTCGCAGTCGTGCTGCATAGCGATAGCGCACTCTTATATAACTTAGAAACAAAAGTAGCAAATATATATTTTTGCGCAAACAAGAAAAAAAATATAAAAAAAAAAAAAACACTAGCAATAATTTGAAAAGCGAATCGCACGAAACAGCACACGTAAAACCAAAAACGCAGCGATACAGATACACGACCCATGCAGATAGCCCAAAACAACAACAAGCTTTGGGTCTATACATACCTATATGAAAAATACAACATTTTAAAATATATATATATATATAGAAAGATGGGTAGCCTTGCATGCGCTGCGAGGTATGTAGTATTTTACGTATGTATATATATTTTTTTGGTTTGTCAATCTTATCAAAGACGACAGCGACACTATCGTACCCTTGAAATTCTCATTGATTCAAACAAAATAAAAATAAAAGCAATTTAAAGTTATCATTTCATAATAACTGAAGTGGAAACAGCAATTGAAATGATTTGTATTTGAATTATTGCCAACGGTTAAAATTATTTCAAAATGTCCGCCTTTCTGCCTGCCATTGCGATAATTTTCCCATTGCATCGATTACATGTCCTTTCGGATGCGACAATCGATAACACTGTCACGAGGCCCGGCAGCAGTCGCAACGCAACGCTTATTTTGCAGGGCTTGCAAAAAAAAAATTAATTGAAAAATGTGTAACAGATTAATAAATCAAATTTAAATGGATCGCATTTTGTGGTGTCGTGAGCGTGATTAGTCGTCAACAACCTTGAAAAACAACCATGTGCATGATGAGAGCTTGTGATGAGCACAAATGCGATTTGCAACAAGTGTTTGACTGCCGTTTGCCGCTTGACAGGAACGAGTTTTCTTTTGCTGCTGTGCTTCTACTCGAAATATCCAGAATGCGAAATTAGCCTGATGATGTAATCTGAATGTGCCAGTTTTTGACGAAATATATACATATGTATGTTGTATGACAAAAAAAAATGTAAGACGGCTTGAATTTACTTAATTGCTGTAAGCAAATCTACGGCTATAAATTGTTGACCCATATAAATGCGACACTTTCTGCATGTATGTAGTAGCTGTGTGTGTGTGCGTGTGTGTGTCTGCGTACATTGTATATGCATGTATGTATCTACGTACATATGTACATATGTGGAATGATAAAAAGTGCATGTAACTACGCTTGGCTTTAAAAGCCCATTAGTATGTAAAATATATATTTTTTTGCCTCAAAAATGCTCACATTCTAAGCCACACTCAAATGGGAAATCCAGTTTTGGTCATAAGAAAAGGGAACGTCGTCGTCGTCGCGGGCATGGCCTCAAGTGTGAGTAACTATGTGCGTGTGTCTGTGTGACAGCCGGCTTGCTTGCGTTCCGCCGTAGGTATGAATCTCTCTCTCTCTCTCTCTATCTCCTTCACTCACTCTGTCTGTCTGTCCCCGTCTCCCGGCTGCTTCTGTGTGGGTCTTCTTTCAAGCTTACCACTTATTCGTACTCGGCATATAAACTTAAACATTGATTACCGTTTGCACGCGTGCATTGTATATGCCTTTTATACGTTCGTACGTATGCGCATACATATGTATGCATGTAAAAGCACTCGCTGGTATGCGCGAGGGTGGATTTAAAAGAAGTCGTTAATGTCGCAGACGTACGTGACGCGCAATTACGATGACACTTGCATCGTATTTGTGATGAGCCTTGCACCGATAACTTAATGTAATTGTGATGAGTCGTGCATCGATAACTTAATGAAAATGTGACGAGCCTCGCATCGATAACCCAGCTTATACTAATTGCACTTTCATGCATACACACATATGCAAATAATAAAAAAAGAGTACCACAAAACAATTTTTGCAAGCTCCATCTTATGATCCACCCTCGATAGCATGTATGTACATATGTATGTTTGTATATCCCTGCACAAGTGCTTTCTCCATATTTTAGCCGTCTCTTCGCAGCGGCCAAGAATCAGCAAAGTAGCAGCGGCAGCAGAGAAGCGTAAATAAACTGTTCAAGTGTGTGTGTGCGTGCCTGTGGCGTGTGTGTGTATGTTTATGATGAGTTCAACGAACCTTGGAATTGTTGAGAATTAGCAATTCTTGAAAAATGTTACCAAAACGGGCAACATAAACACACACACACACACACACATAATCACATCGGTATACAGAGAGATATTGTGTGAAGCTTGAAAGAAAGCCAAGAGACAGCAAAAAAAATGCTCACAGGCATTTCTCGCTGCTTCAGATGCCCCCCTCCCCCCTTCTCATAGCTGTGGATCTTGGCATGGCGGCGCTGTGGGCCAAATTACGGACAAATCAAAGATGTGGAGCATCTCTGCGCGTTCGCTGCTGCAGGTTTCAGATGTTTTTTGTCTTCACGTTCAATGAAAGCCGAGGGCAACTGCCAAGACAAGTGGTGCGAACCCTTAAGCCGCAAAAAGCGCTTAAGCACCTAATGATCATTACAATGCCAGATTTCGATTGTTCGCTGGGCTATCGATGACAGGCCGTTATCGATGCAAATGAGCACCTGTTGAGCTGGTCACACGTGCGACTCGTATAAGTTTTATGAGAACTTTTCCACATTTTCTTCGGTTGCAGTTCGTTTCGTAAACTATTCAAAAAAATATATACACATAAGACCAAATGAGCCGCCCGAGGGTATCTATTCAACATACCATACAGACGTATCTGTTCGACATTAGCATATCGCCTTCGTTCCATTATACAATTTTATTTAAATTTTTGTGTCCCAGGCAAAGGCAAGAAAAAGGGTGTAAAAGACAAAAAGCAAAGCTACCAACAAAAACCGAATATACAATTTCATAAAATAATTAAACTGGTTATTGTTTTTTTTTTCTCTCTCTCTCTCTCTCTCTCTTTCTCTTTAATTTTTTGTAATGTCTATAGATATTTCGATTTGGCTTTTTCGCTTGCTCCACAAATTGGATTGATTAAATAATGTTGCAGCAAGCGAAAACCTTTCACATTTATAAAAGTGCAGCTGTGTGCGTGTGTGTGTGTGTACATACATGTGTACTTATGTTTGTGGGCACAAAACACACTCAACGTGCATATGTATCGGTTTTCTTTGTGTTGTGCACAGCATTTTTAGTTGCTCTTTATTTCTTTTCAATTTTATGCTTGTCTGTCCGTCCGTCTGTCTGTTCGTCCGTCTGACTGTGTGTCTGACTGTCTTTCTGCTTCTTCTTCTTCTTCATCATGATCATCATCGCTGTAAAGTGAAAGGTGCTCCCACAATTCAAAAATGCTTTTTAACTTGAAAAATTGCTACGCTTTGGCTTGCGCTTTGGTTTCTTGCGTTTTTTTTTTTTTGTTCGACTTTTGCCTGGCAGTCGAAAAGCGTGGTAAATGGTAATTGGTAAATGTAAAGTGGCCTGAAAAGAAAGTGGACGAACAGAAGAATACTAAAAGGCAACCCTCGCGTTAAGCTGCCTTTCAAATAGTGTTGTAAATTCATTTTACAAATCGATAAATACAAATTTGAAAATTATAAGCAGTAAAGTTAATTTGAATATTAAATTTACTAATTTTGTATGCTTTTGTTGTTGTTCTACTTAATTTGAGATATGTGTTAATTAACGCCAAATGATCGATGCCCCAAAATCAGGCATGCTTATATTATAATCGATATATTGATGTTTCGATTATTTTTCGATCAGGCGACTAATTGACCTTGTTGACGCACGTTAACATTACGTATACGCCGTCTGGCAACCCCAATGCGACCCAAGCCCAATTGCCAACACAGAACTGCAGCCAAGTGACGTGTTTTTGGCGTATTTCAGTTATAAATATACCCAAATGGGTATATTAATAGCATCGACACCAACACACACGCACAGCATAGCGATACGGCGGGGGCGTGCGTCCTATGCGGGCTTAACCTTATCACCAATAAACATATATAATTGCGAATGTGTGTGCCAAAAGAGAAATGTACGCACGCAGCCAGGCGCCCTGACGTATAACCCACCCGCCAGTTAACCGATTCCCCCAAAGTCGGACAAAATATTCGCAAAACGGAAATGTTGTGAAAGTTGCGAACGGGCGCACAACCCACGCGTAAAGACTCCAGTAGCCATGGCTTCCAATTGGTGGTGCTGTGGCTTGTGTCCTAATCGCATTGGCATTGGTCGCAATGCGATTGCTCTATACGCTCAGCTGCCAAAGTGGTTGACTTTGACGCCATTCACAAACTCAGGCAATAAATAACTGAATAAAATAAAGAGTGCCAATGCGACGGAAGCAACAATTATGTAGATCAACAAACGATTTTAGCCAAAATCAATTGATCAAGTGAGCTTTGTTAGCATACTGCATGGGTGAATCACTTAGGGTCTGTCTTCATTATTGATTCGCTTTCCAAATGTCTGACTCATTTAAGTGATAATGCCTATGCCGGACTTGGAAGTGTGCGGTGTTGTGGCGCGATAAGCTGACTTTCTTAATTGATCGCATATTTGCAGAGCACAATTCTACGATAGAAAGCTTCAGTTATATTTCAATAATATAGTATTGTAATACGTTTAATAGAAATCCATATAAATAGTATAAGCAACTCGAACCTTAACTAACTAACTGTATTAAGCATAAGCCATTCGGAGTAGAGCTCAAATTTAGCCCGCGAATTATATATGAAAATATGTAAGCCTTTATATATTTTCAGTATAACGGGCAATTGCCAATTCAAAATAAAAATCATTCATCAAAACATCAATAATTATTAGACTAACATTAGAACTTAAAGCGAAGTCCAGGGATGTAAAAAGCTAGCTTTACGAAATCAAACCCCAAGGCAGAGAGTAAAAGAGCACGTCCGTGCTCCACGCAACCTTATAGCTAATCAACCTTTCATTTTGCATTACATACCGTTCACCCTTTAATAAGACTTAACTGTTGCACAACTTGTTGCCATCGCTTGCTGTGTTACACTTATCGTATAACACTTCATTAACGCACATTGGAGACAAAACAATATGGTCCGCCCACGCTACAGCAAGGCAGACACCATACAGCCCCTCCCCCCCCCATCATGCTTGGACCATGTGTTCGTATTGTAAATTCAATCTATGAATAATTCACACAGAGCCTTCAACTCCTGCCTGGCGGCTGTTGGCTGCCTGCTTGGGCCTGACATTGACGTCAAGAGTAAACTAAACAGCTGGTCGCCTGCCGGCCGCCCACATACAATCGAGACTATGTTGGACTTAAGAGCAGACTGTTGCTCTTTGCACTCGGGCTGAAAAGAGAGCAAAAATAAAGCGGGCAACAGCAACAAGAAATTGTGCAATGCGCATCCTGCATTGCGCAGCGCGTGTAAAATTCGCATGAATGGACGCGAAAGTTGACTCAATGAATGATGTGGGGGTGTCTCGCTCTCTTTCTTAGCCTCTCTCCCTCTCTCTATCTCTCTCTTTCTAACTGTAATACGATGATACTATAAATGTGCATGTATATATACACATACATACATATGTGTGTGGTTTGCACAAATTTAATTATGCGCGCTTTTGCCATATGTTTGAACTTTTTTCATAGAAATGTGCCGCTAACAAACCACAAAATTTGCAGTGTTGCCATCGCTGCATGATTTTGTTTCTTTTTTTTTTTGTTTTTTTTTTCTTATTGTTTTTTTGTTTTTGGCATTCGCTTTGGATTTTTAACCTGTTTTTGCAGATTGCAACGCTAGCTACGCTCATTGGAAATGTCAAAGTTAAGCAATACACACACATACACATGCACACACACACACACACACACAAACACACTCACTCACATATTGTTTGAGTTTATGCCATATTGAAAGTATCGTGCACACATAGCTCGAACTAGTTATTCAAATATGCTGAGCAACCGTCTCTTGAGACAACACTGTTGCCAAGCACGTTTTTCAGTTTTGTGGGTTCTCGTGTGCATTTAAAATAGCGGCACGCTGCACTAAGCCGTTAGAAACTCAGCATAACCTCAAACGCACACACACACACACACACACACAAACAACTCGCACACACATGCACATGCACAGCGACATTTGCATGCATTTGTTAACTGTTCTTTGTTGGCTGTTGTTTTTATTTTACCGTAAAGGGTGTCAAATTGTCTTTGGCAAAATGTTTAATATTATTATGTACGCTCTATACTCTATGCTAGCAATATTTGTAGCCAGCTTTTGCTTATATAAGCGAAAGTTGTATCAAAATGTAAAACGGTTGAAATGTTAAATACACACACACACACACACGCACACATGCATATGTGTATGCATATATGTATGTACATATGTATGCAAAGGTAAGCTGTGGTTAAGTTTTTTATGCTTCTGGTGGCCCCTCAATGGTAGCAGCCGTCAAGTCGAATAAACTTGCTGACTTATTAACTTGAACTTGTTTGTTAATGCTGCAATTTTCTTCTCGACTTGACTTTTGGTCTTACAAAATTGCCCCGCTCAACGTTTATGAAAAAAACTCTAGAGTTTTGGTCTGCTTCAACTTATTTCTTTCTTTCTTTCTTTTTGGTTTTTTTTTTTTTTTTTGGTCAGCATTCTTTTGTGAAGGCGATTGCCTTTTTTTCAGCTTTCGTCGAGCCAAGGTAGTAATTTTTTTTTGTTTGGTTTTCATTTCTGCATGCCAAAAGAAAGAGGAAGAAATTGTAGATCAAGTCGCGACTTGGTTAATTGAATGCCACAAAAAAAAAAATAACTTCAAATAGTTTTTAGGAAAATAGTATACATATGTCATATTTCCTGTGTATGTTCATTCACATTCCTGAAGATTTGCGCTAGAAGTGAATAACCCCTTTTATGGTATATAATATATAAATATTATAATCATATAAATTTCAGTCTTTGAGTACAATGTATGTACACATGCATACAAGATTAATTCGAATGCTGTCTAGCATGACGTTTTGTTTCCAAGCAACATGTGCTCCTTATCTTCGAACAAAAATGTTAAAATAGAATTTTAGCTTCCAGCAGCAATATGTCTAAGTGCTTATCAATAGAACAGTGGACCACCAATAATGAATTATAGCTAATGAGATCGGAGATTTCAACGGAATCCAATGTGAATACATCTATATCTAAGATACATTCAACTTAGCACATAAGATAAAACTTGTTGAAGTTCTTAGATTATATAGCATATAAATTGTTCATGATTTACTGCATAAATAATTTGTTAAATATAGTTATTCTTTTTTTTTTGTTTTAGTTCGTATTTTTCATGCTAATTATTTCCAAAAATATCAACAACAAAAATTATTCAATAATACGTGAAGTAATCAATAAATAATTTGATGAGTTACTGACACAGCCCCGATAAGCGGACACTTGAGACACAAATGATTACCCCAGCCCCCTGACCGTGCAGCTAAATGGGGGATTTTTGTTGCTGTTTTGTTTTTTTGTCGGCCAATTAACAGATTGCAATGTGTACGGTACATGTGTAAAAAAAAAAAATGGAGGGAAACACAGCTTTTGGGATTTTTTTCAGTTGATAAATATTTGAATTTTACTTTTAGTGCACGGTAATTCCAACGAAACGGATTATCTATAAATGTTATTCCTTAAGCATTTCCTCCGTGGAAAAGCCCAAGTTGACTATACTATATATATATATATATAGGGAGAGAGAGAAATGATTTGTGTTTATGTATGAAGTGAACGCGCGCCTAATCAAAACTATTTCAGGTCTTATCTGGCTTTTGGCCCTCTTTTGTTACAAAATGGTCTGTGATAAGATTTTTGATATGCCACAGCAAGACTTCAACTTGGGGCAATGATAATTTAAATTTTCCAAATAATGCCAAAAATGCGCCAAAAACAATCTGAAAATCAAGTGTTGCATTGAAATAAATATTTATTGTGTTTAGAGTTATGGTCACATTAAAAAACAGAAAATATTACCAACACACAGGCACACACACGTACGTAATGCAAGCCGAAACTGATTCTGACGTAATCGAGGGCGCACGCCCCGGTTCTACTACGGCGGGAAAAAACTGCACGCGCATTTTGTTCCCGGGAATTTCGTTGCTTTTGCTGCTGCTTAAGAATTTGCTTTTGTTTTTGTTATTTTGTTCATAAACACACGCATACACACATACATATGCATGTCGTTTTTTTTTTTTTTTTTCATTTTTCGCATGAGCCTATTTTGGTCTGGCGTCGCGGTCTTTGCGGCATTATCTCGCCCAGTAATGACACTGACGGCCCGAGCTTTTGTCAGTTTAAAGTGCAGCAGCTACAACAACAATACTAATACAAATACTAATACTAATAACAACAAAAAAGTCATTAGTAACTTTGCATTTAGCGCAGCTGATAGCGCAGTTCGTCTTATCACTCGCACGCCCCTGTCAGCTCTCAAGTGTGTGTGTGTGTGTGTGTGTGTGTGTGTGCGCGCCGTAATAGATTCTTTCTTTCTTTTGTATTTAGAATCTGCTGTAGTACTCATAAATGTTACGCCGGCAGCAGCAGCAGCAGCGGCAGAGACGCTTCCTCGACGGCGACATGTATTCATTACTGTTTCCGCAGCGATAAGCAGGCCCTCCTCATGAAATGAGGCTCAACGCAGCACACACACACACACACACACACACACACACACACACACACACACACACATATTGGTTAAAAAAAAAGAGCCAGCAGAAGAACAGGAGAAAAAAAAACCATTTTTGCTCGCTAAATGATAAATTTCTACAGTTTCTTTTCAATTTCTTGGAAAAACTTCAATTATCATTATCAGAACACTTTGGAGGTACACAAAGAAAGAAATAAAGAAACGCAGAAGTAGAACTTTCGTAATACCAGAAATAGTTCTCGCCCTTATCTGGGGCCATGTAAATGATATTTTTCGAACACAAGAAATCACTAAAAAAAAAAAAAAAAAAAATGATTTGTCTCACTAAGGTAAGTGGCTAAAACAAGACTCAACGTAACCGAGTTGACAGAGATAAAAAGAAAAGAAGAAGACGAAGAAGAAGGGCAACTTGTAGCCTTGCCTTTCATATCATATCTTTTTTTTTGTTTTTTTTTTTGATATTTTAGATTTTTTTTTTTGCAAAAGTTGTTTTCAGTTATGTAGCTACGCCCCGGCACGTTCTGCTACATAAGTGGGAAATCGAATCGAATTGAATTGAAACGAAATAACAGGGTGTGCGCTGTCGTATATCATATATGTATGTAGTTAGGGTAGACCCCCCTGCCCCCCTCCTCCTCCTCCTGGTAGCTAGCGGGCAACGGTGTCGATTAGATTTGGCTTTTGGTGACTGGCAAGAGTCAAGACTCAAGTCGAGACTCTTGGACAGACAGTTTTATGAGCTTGTTTTATAGGACAGGTTTTTATTTCTATTTTTTGCTTTTTTTTTTTTTTTGTTGTTGGGGGCCTTTCGAGCAAGATCAACCTGAATCGGAAAGGGAAAATGCAGATTGTACAACAATTTCACCCAATTCAAGCCACATCGAGATGGTTTTCTCAACATAATCATAATCTAAGCCACTTTATTTAAATTTTAACTAAACAACAAATCGTTGTCGGTTCATTTGCCCGGCCTGATAAGCTCTCTGTAAGCTTAATGTGGGTCATTAATATATATACGTTTATATATTTATAATTTTTAAATTCGTTTTTCAAATGCAATTTCATTTTCTAACGAATCTGACTTTATATTAAGTATATGCAACACTTGGCCCATTGCACAGCTAATGTCAAGGGTTTACATTTTAATGAGATGGTAGAAATAGACGTATCTCTATATACTTAGCATATATATATGCACGTATCTGATTTAAGATCGTTTTCTTATCGGTTGAGTGTGAACGTCATGAGCGTAATTAACACGAGAACTGATAAACTAATAAAGCATTTTGAGGCTTGATATCATAAATTGAACTCTAGAGGTTCGCTTACCGGATCTAGATCGGAGTCCCATATATCTTTGAGGTCGCCATCGTAAAACGAGTCCATACTGACGGTTTGTGGTATTGTTTGTCTTATTTATTTATGTTTTTCGCGCTCTAAGAACTTTTTAGGTTTTATTTTCTTTTAATTTTATATGTTTCAGTTGATTTTTGCGGTTTTCGACTTCGTTCCAACTGGTTGCAGTCACACGCTTTTCTTAGTTTTCCTCAATTTCTTCTCTATCAACTATATATTGTATATATATATATATATATATATATATATATATATATGTGTGTGTGTGTGTATATATAAATTCCTTTCCTTCTGGCTAAAGCTAGTCGACAACAGTTCTGGACGCGCTTCTCTATAACACTTATTAGGGCGAAACCTGTTGCTTCCAAAGAATGTTTTCACTTGACATTGTTAAAGTCGCGCGTGTGTGTGTGTGTGTGTGCTTGTGTGTTTGTATGTAGCGCAGCGCGAGCGAGTGTTTGTCTGTGTGTGTACGAACATATGTATGTGTATGTGTTTAGTTCTAACTTGGTTTACAACTTGTAGCTGGATTAAACTTGTTGCACGCTTTCGTTGGGGGGGATTTTTTGTTGTTGTAGTTGTAATTATATATTTAACGATTTTATCCAACACATTCGATATTCACTAGGTTTTCGTAGAAAATTGTTATTAATTATAATTTTGTTTTTAATTGCGATTTTCTTCTTTTTTTTATTAATATTTTATTTTGTATAGATTTAATGCTGTTGATTTTTGTGTTGGGGACAGCAGCACATTTCCATTTCCATATGGCTGGCTTTGGCCATGTATAATAACATTTAAAATGTGTAGTTAATATCATTAACTGTTGCCGCTTTCGTAATTGAATTGTATATGGTACGTATATATGTATATATATATGCATATATCTTGTGTACATATATGATTGGTTAGCACAATTAGAATATTGTCCGTAGTGCGACTGCAGCCAAAAACGGTACTAAACTAAATGTCGGTGAAATTCTTGTGAATGCGAACGAACTGGCAGGCAGCAGCCGCAGCCGCAGCCATTGTCGACGTCGTCGTAGATTCGCTCTCTCTCTCACATACACACGCACACAAAGGCATACACAATCGAAGCAAAGAGCGCATGTGAATGACTTAACGTATATTCGGTCGCTCCCTCTGCCGCTCGCGCACATTGGCTGACGTTCACAATGCCGGTTGCCGGCTTGCCTTGCGGGCTCTCTTAGCTTAACTTTCACGCTCTTTGGTCTTTGTAAAGTGAATGTAAGCAGGCGTCGCTCGTCGCCGTTGTCGTAAGCCGGCTTTGACGTCAAGCCAAGACTTATAGGAAAAAACAAAAACAAGTTTCTTCCGACGTTGACGTTGCTGCGGCAGCGGCTGCGGCTGCTGCTGCTGCTGTTGCGGCAACATTTGTTAACCTGTTTTTTTATTATAGACTCTTTTTTTTTTTTTGTTTTTGGTATTTGATTTGGTTTTTCCCCCCTCATGCTCTAGCGCGCTCTGCAGCTCTAGGCTGTGGCCGGCTTCGGCGCTGCCGCTTGGCAACACTTTGCGCTGCTGCTGCTGCGGCTGCTGCGGCTGCTGCTGCGGCTGCTGATCTTGTCAACTTGACCAAGTTATTTGAACTATGCGCATGTGCAGCCGACGTCTAGCTGGCCAAGCCAGCCAGTTAGCCAAGCCAAACTGAGTTGGCTAGCTTTTGTCATTTGAAGGCTGTTTGCCTGGGCCCGGCTGCAGCGACGTCAGCGTCAGCGTTAGCAGCAGCAGCAGCAGCAGCGGCAGCAGCAGTAGCAGTGGCATAAAGTGAATGTACTTTCAAACCAAAGATCCGGTTTAAAGCCAGGCACAGATACAGCGTTGATGACGATGGCGACGACGTTTTCACAAATGCTTGTGTAATACATATAGAGAGGCAGAGCCCCAATACATACATACATATATACGTGCACATGTATGTATATATGCATGTACATACTTACATACACATTAAGAGCTTTGGCTACAAATTTCTGATGTATTTGAACAAAGCTAAAAACCCATATGTATATCGAATTGTTGGCCAGGCTTACAGGCTAAAACCGGTCGCCTGTTCGTGATTATCGCACGAGAAAAACAAAAAAAAAAAAAAAAAAAAAGAAGGCCCCCTCCCGGGTGCGGGAAAGTATCAAATGGTGCCTGTGCCTAGGCAGGCGCTGCGCACAACCGAACGTCGTCGTTACCCCAGATCAATGAGCTTTGATAGCTCGGGCAAGACGCCAGCCGCCCCAGAGATCTTTTAATATTTAATGTACACACACACGCACACACATGTACAAATTGTGTAGATGAAAACATGTAAACGCGAATCATTGAAAATGTGCATTGCAAGCGTATGTGTATGTGTGTGTGCGCGTGTATATTTGTAAATAAAATTTCATTTTGTAGCTCTTGCATCTGTGTGTGTGTGTGTGTGTGTGTAATAATTCGTCATGCTGGCCGCATTTGAACCCGCATAGCTGCCGGGCCGAACCGAACCGAACCGGGCCGGGCCCAACACCGCCCCTAATAAGCAAATCGAAACGCAAAAACAACAAACAGCACAATTTTGCGCTCTTCGGTTTTCGTACTCTCTTGCGCACGCTCAAATCTAACTCTCTGTGTGTGCGTTGCTTTGAGCGCGCTCTTCTCATCGCGCTGATCGTGCGCTGGCGCTTCAAGTGGATTTTACAGTTACATAGTATATACGAACGTGTATAGAAAAAGAGAGGGTGTGTATGTGAGAGAGAGCGAGAGATCGTTCAAGAGGCAGGCATGTGGGGGGAGTGGGAGAGAGATACTTTTGTATCTTATGGCTGGCACAAATATTTTTCGCGCAGCGCCCAAGTCACTGAACATTTTTTTTTTTTACTTTTATTATTATTTTATATTATTTGATTTGTGAATCACAACAAAAAGTCGTAGATATATGGGTGTACATATATATGTACAAATGTGTGTGCGAGTGTGTGTGTGGTTGGGTTTCACTGGAAAACAAGATACATTACGTGCCTGTTGTTGTTGTTGTTGCTGCTGCTGCTGCTGTTGTTGTTGTTGTTGTTATTTAGGTGTCGGTGTCTGTTGGTCTGCTGCCTCGTTGTTTGCGATTCGCATGTTGTTTATCTGCAGCAACATTTTAATCTGTACTTCAGTTATTTAACAAAAAAAATATATATATATGTATAAATATAATTTAGAATTATGCCAAGCGCCTTCTGATTAGATTTTTGTTATTCTGTACCTTACTGCGTAAACTTGATAATTTAATGACTTCCTCTAAGATACTTGAACAGCTGATCTAAACGAATTTTTTGTAGAATTTCATATTATTTTCGCTTGCGATCTTTAATTGCCTTGCAAGCGATATCTGTTAGTTCTTAATTGTAAATGAATTGCCAGTTTTTTTTTTTTTTTAACAACAAATTAATGAAGCTATCTGCAAACAGAGCTAATGTTCCCTAAAAGGTTCGTGCAGATAAGATTTGTATTACACAAAGGACTCAACCATAAATCAGTCATCAGTCATTAGCAATTCGCAGCGGGGTTTACTTATCAGAAATGTTTGTCTCTCTTTTGGAAAACCTAAAAACAACCGACATTAGCTGCTAAAATAATGAAAAGAAACCATAGATCACACTGGGTCTGGGTTTATTTAGTTGATAAAGCAATTTGAAGTTGTATTTTTGAAATTTGCGCTAAATTTAAGTTTTGTTTAAAGTGCACATTAAACAATGTTTTTGTTCAATGTCTATAATTAGTTTCATGAAAAGCAGCTGTGTCTGTAATATTTGATGGGACAAAAGAATAAAAAAAAAAAAAAAAAAATAATAATAATGAAAAGAAGAAAAACATATGCCAGCAGCTAAAAATATGTGCATATGTTTATCTTCGCTTAGCTTATGATGTTGCAGGTGTAAATAAAGCCGATTCTTGATTAAAGACACTTCCAAGAAAAATACCCAAATAATAAGCATAAAAGATATCACTTTGGCCTACTAACTAAAAGGTGGGTAGATGCATAAAGATAAGATCTATTATTTGAATTTTTTGCTTATAAAGAGAGAGAAAAGATCCATGACATCAATTTGACATAGTTTCTTCATTATCACATTGTAAATTGCGAATTTGACAGTCTTTGTTTTTTCGCCAAAACAAAACTGGAACTGCGTTCGCCCTGCCGCGGGTCTCTTAGTTAGGGCATCCAATATGAGACAGTCTATATATTAAGATATACTATATACTATACTATAATTAAGTATTATATATATTCTTTATCAGTATCAACTGATCCATATAACCCGTTCGTCAGACTGTCCGTCCGCTTCTAGGCAAGTTCGTCTCTCGGCATTTAAGATATTATCATGTAGATACACACTGAACTGGGCGGATCGAACTACTATATCAGACAGCTGTCATAAGAACAAAGAACGTTTGAGAGTTGCATTTTGTTTTTCAAGATGTGAGTAACTCTTCGGCCAGCTGCTTACATATTTACAAAATCGGACAAATATTATTCAACTTTATCATACAGCTCTATAGAAAGGATCGCAAAAATGAACCTAAGTATTCTTGACTTAACTTAACAAAGTAATAAGCCATATTTCCGGAAGGGTATTTTACATAGCTTGTAGGATATTTACTAGTCGGCATTGTCAAAAACGAATGAAAGTAAAAAAGAAGAAATACAAATATAAGCGTGACTTCATTACGGCCGAAATAATATAATATTGGCTCCCTCAGGACTATGAAAGCCAATTGTCATTGTCATCATCATGGTATTCTATTTATATAAAAAAAAAAACACACACACACACACATACATAGGTCTACAGACATAATGCACACATACATACACATACACATACACATATATATATTTATCATGGCTGTTTCGGCTGGCTTAATATAAATGTCTTGCAAGCTGTACAATGAAATTAACACATGCTTGTAAATAAATGTACATGTGCATTGTAAATTAAACATGCAGTTCACTGATCGAGCTACAACTCTGGCATGTGTTGGTGTGTGTGTGTACCTGTCCGTGTGTAAACATATAAACAGATCCGCACCGGCAGACATTTTGCCGACATCGTCGTCGTCTTCCATTTACAACTGAGTCCACAAAGCGCGTGCATTGAGCAGCCTTTTGTATGGATCCGATCGTGTCTTTTGTTCGTCCATCTGTCAATGCATTTTACAAAAGCAAATATGGTTCATACGAAATGATCTATGGTAACAAAAAAAAAAAAAAAACAAAAACAACGATGCATGGAAAAATTGGTTACGTTTGCACTTGTTTAAACAAATATACATATGCATATGGGAGAGCTGCTTGCGACGATCCTCGCGCTTGCCTTTACTTTTATTTATTTTTTAATAATTTTTCATTTTATTTTTTCTTTCGGCTTACAGGTGCAGGGCAGTCGCTGCGACCGTGATAAAGTCAGCCGTCCGGCCGTACCCGTCTTGTCTTATCGTATTGGCCAAATGCTTGACAATAAATTAGATTTTGTGTGCATATTTAGAAAAATATAAATAGATGATATGCCATCCACTCCAACGTTGCCTGCCACGGCACCCGGGTCCCATGATGTTGCAAAAACGCAACTCACATAATTGTGTGATTTATATCACAACAAACAGCGGGCATTATTGAGGGTTCTTTCGACTCTTCACGAGCTGGGAACGCGCCTAACTCAGTGGAAGGCAATCCGAGTGCCAAAAAAAAACCAGGGCTACAAGTCGAAACTTTTTTTGAAGCCCGAATTACAGTTCCATTTACCTTAAACCTTGGTTTGAAACAGATTAATCTATTGATACCGAACTATTTTAAAATTAATATTATATATATGGAATATATTAAACTTCTCTCAGAGGGCTATACAAGAGCCAAGAAACCAGGGCTGCAAGTCGAACCTTTGTTCGAAGTCCGAATTCTAGTTCCATTTACCATTAACGTTGACTTAAAACAGATTAATCTATTGAAGTTGAACCTAAGACTTGGAGCACGATCTCTCAAGTAGAGGGCAATATAATTCCCAAAAAACCAGGGCTGCCTTTTTTAAACCAAATGATTTGAGCCTCGAGTCTTAGCTGCTTTTCGCATTTACTTAAAGCACAGCTTAAACTTAAACCGCACTGAAACAAGTACTTAAATAAGGATATGTGAAATATTGAACTACTCTAAAGTACCAGGGCTCCTAGCTGTTTTTGAACCGAAATGATGTGAGCCCCGAGTTCCTGTTGTTTTTTAATTTGAATACGAACCGAAACTCAAATCAATTAAAGCACATATTTGAAAGCAGACTGCGTTGAAAATATTGAAGTTCTCGCAAGAGTATAAAATAAGTGCGAAAAACCAGGGCTGCAAAACTGTTCACATTCGAAACATTTTGATATTTGTATGAGAAATGATTTTGTTTAAAGGAATACATTTGTTTTAATCTTTGAAAATATTATTGCACAACATTTGAGCTTTTAACATGGTGCTTGCGATATTTTCAATGCAAAAAATAACAAATAAACATAAAAGTAAATAATTAATTGAATTGTAAATAAATGGAGCTGTGATATTTGTAAATTGAAAGAAATCGAAAAAATATTTATTATTTTATTTAAGTATAAATTGTATTAGGGTACTTGAAGCAGTTCTTGTTAACAATAAATATAATATTATTATTATTAATAAATAAAATTGTTTTCTTTGTAAAATGGCAGAAAATGTGAAAAATCTGGCTAAACAATTGGCCGAAACGAGGCTTACGAGGCGAAGCTTAAGGCGAGGTTTGACCCCTTTGCTGGGCTTGGTTACAAGCTGCATCAGAGAAACGTAATAGCCGACGCGCACCTGTAGCGAAATGGGTATATAATAATATATATATATATATATACATATATGAGTTGGGGCACGTTTTTAGCGGTCTTCGAGCTCTATAAGCAAAATACGGCCAAAATGCGGTGCTGTTGAGGTCAATGATTTCTTCAGCTGCTGCCGCCGCCGCCTACCTTTTCACGCTTTTGGCTTTGGCTTTGGCCAGAAAGACGCAGAAAAAAAGCACTTGGTGAGCATATATTGAATATTAATTAAAATTAAAGAAAAAAAAAAACAAATATCATAGCCCGGTCTTATGTAAACACGGAGAGTGTTTCGAGTGGTCCATTGTTCCCGCTGTTGTAATGACAATCGATGACATAATGTGCTATATGTTATGCATATGTGATGTATATGTGATGTATGTGATGTATGTTGGTTGGAATTTACGCATGCTGTGATTCACGCGGACGAGAACAATCTGATAGCTAAGTATATGAAATTTTGAGGCCATGCTGATAAACAGTATTCAATTAGACTAAAAAGAAATGCATGTTCTTATCAGATTTTTGTTCGGAAGTTCTATCGGCAAACATCAAGCCCATAAATGCAAAGGAACTGTCGCCGTGAGAGCTCAGTTAAGAAACCAATCTGAAGTCAACAGAATGTTCAAATCATCGCTACTTTTCGCGCTAGTCTTTATATTCTGGCCACATGTAAATGCGGACACGTTCGAGGAGTGCTCGGATGCAGATGCCGAAAGCTTTGTCTCCAGCTACGAGAGCTGTCAGGCGTATGTCTACTGCGATGGCGACGATTCCATACTGGGTCAATGCGATGATGGGCAATACTTTGATCCCGAATCGGGCACGTGCGACGATGCGGCCAATGTGAGCTGCTTTCTGGACGAGGTCGATGAGCCGCCAGTGGAGGAGCAGCCAGAGGAGCCGGCTGTGCAGCCCACAGAAGAACCGGAACCGACGCCGCCAACCATGGAAACGCCCGCCCAGGTGGAGGTCGTAAATGTGGCGCCCATCGTTAAGCCCAGCTGCCCGCAAAGCGATGATCCCAGCCAGGTTATATTTATGGCCAACAATGAGTCATGCACGGACTACTATCTGTGCTATCACGGCCATGCCATGCAGATGCAGTGCACCAATCAGCTGCACTTCAATCCAATCACCGGACAGTGCGATTATCCGGAGAATGTGCACTGCGCGGTAAGTTTGTATGAAGCTCCTGCTATTCAATATTTATTATGATTTTTCGCTTGCAGCTGGATGAGCCGGCGGCGCACAAATGCCTGCCGCACATGACCGACTTCTTTCCGCATCCGGACAAGTGCAGCTATTTCTACTATTGCATCAAGGGCTTCCTAACGCTGCAGCAGTGCCCCTTCTACTACGGCTGGGACATCGAGAGACGCAGCTGTGTGCAGCTGAATGTGGCCAAATGCTACGGCAGCTCCAGACGTGCGTAGCCCGAAACGCCCTGTAACGGGTTTACCCAGCACAGCTCTATCTAAAAGCAAAAAGCAAGCACAAAAAAAAAAAAAAACAAAACAAAAAGAGACAGACATAATATTGTATACCTTTAATTGATAAGCGCCCTACTCCCTGATAAGTCTAGCTAAACACGAGTCGTTTAATTAAATGCAACTATTTAGAAGACAAACCTTTGTGTGGAAAATATAAAAAGCCTAAGCACAACTCCAGACAGCCGCACACAATGAGACAATCCGTACGCATTGACATCCGGCCCGTCATCGACGTCGTCGTCGTCGTCGTCGTCATGGTCGTCGTCATGATCAGCGTCGGCGCAGTCGAGTTTCCGGAATGCGATTCCGTGGCTGCCGAAACCTTTATTAACCACACGCGACCCAATTGCAGTCACAGCCTGATTTACTGCAATGGCGACAGTTCGCAGTTCTGCGATTCGACCGTGCTCTGCGACCTGGATTACACCTGTCCGGCGGCCACGAACGGCAGCTCCACGCTGCTGCCATTGCCCGCCGACGAGGAGCCCGCTCCGACGACCAGCAGCGTCAGCTCCACCGACTCCACTGTGTCCACGCCGGCTACGCTGGACGTGCGTGCGCTGTGCCGGCGCGGCGTAACCAAGAAGTACATGTATCCCGGCAACTGTAACTATTACTACTATTGCGTGGATGGCTTTCTGATTGTGGAGCAGTGCCCCATCGGCTATGCCTACAACGAGCTGGGCGGCACGTGCAGCGGACGCATCCAAGATGTGGCCGCGTGCCGTCAGCCGTGAGCTGAGGCGAACATTTACCAATTAAGCTTTTCGTTGTCTTTGCTACGTTTTTTTTTTATGTTGTGCTGTGCAATTAACACAATTAATAAATATGAACTAATCGCCTTATCGAACTGCGAACTGTGTGCGCCTCTAAACGCCTATAAAGCAGCCGACTCCGGCTGCGGATCTCAACAGTATTGATGTTGAAAGTTCTAACAATTGTCATTGGCTGCCTGCTGGCCTTGCTGGGCTCCGGATCGGTGCGGGCGGCCTTTCTGCAGGAGTGCGAGGGCGTCATCATAAGCCGTGTGCCCAATCCGAATCCCGACTGCAGCGAATATGTCTTTTGCAATGGCGCTGATTCCTACTACTGCAATGGCGACTGCACCGAGCCGGTCAGCTGCTACGGCTCGAATGAGACGGAGGCAACGATGTCGCCGGACAGCACGGAGCTGGCAACGGAGCAGCCAGCCGCAAGCAGCACGGAGACTTCCAGAGCAACCACCGGCAGCAGCAGCAGCAGCAGCAGCAGCAGCAGTAAGAGCTCAACCCTTAGCAGCACCAGGAGCACTACCTCGTTACCATCCACGACGACCACCAACACGAGCAGCCTCCAAGTGATCTGCCGGAGAAGCGGTCAGAACGGCGTCTATCCTTATCCGGCGAACAATAACTATTATTATCAGTGCATCGCCGGGTATCTGCTGCTGCAGCAGTGCCCGCAGCATTTCCATTTCGATGTAGCGCTGAGCCAATGCACTGGCTCAAACCCTTATCAATTGTAAGCACCCTCACAGCTCTAGCCAAACAGGGTTGGCAATAATAAAGTCAACACAATCAGCAGGAGTTTTGCATGACATGTTCGAAGCGTAAATTAAAAGGCCTGATAAGAGGCAGCTCATTTAAAACGTTTCCGTAAACCAACTCGGTTCTTTAGTCGCCCATCGACAACGTCTCGAAGCGGAGGCCATGCATCATCCAAGCGTGAAATCTTTGCTGCTGCTTTTGGTTGCCAGCTGCCATTTGGCGGCCAGCGACATTTTCGAGCAGTGCAACGCGGAGAATAATAATAATTTTGTGGAGTCCAACACGAGTTGCACGCATTTTGTGTTCTGCAGCGGCGAGGACTCCTTCGAGGGCGAGTGCCCCGAGGAGAATGACTACTTCAATGCCCAGCTGGGCATGTGTGAGCCCATGCAGGACGTGGACTGTCGCACCGGCCTGCCGCTGCAAGCGGCGGAGGCTGCCGGCTCGATCACAGTCACCGAATTGCCCGCGGTCACAGTGACTGTTGTCGTGACTGCTGCGCCAGCCTCCAGCTTGGCCACGTCCACGGCCAGCGCGGAGCTGCAGACAACGCCTGTCAGTCTTGGGGAGAATAAGGTGGTCACCCTGGTGGCCAGCGCTTGTCCAGCCACCGATAATTACAATCAGATTGTGCTGTTGGGCCACGACAAGTCCTGCACGGAGTACTTCATATGCTATCACGGCAAGCCGCTGGCCATGACCTGTGCTGCCATGCTGCACTTCAATGTCAAGACCGGCAAGTGCGATAAGGCCGAAATAGTCAACTGTTTGGTGGGTGACCCAAGAGATCCTGCTATATAACTAACTAAAGATACACCAAAATTTTCATTTGCAGCGATCAACTATAAGCGTGCGGGAGCAATGCAAGTCGCATACCGTGGACATCTATCCGCATCCCGATAACTGCAACTATTTCTACTTTTGCCGCAATGGTTACCTGATGCTCCAGCAGTGCCCCTTCTTCTACGGCTGGGACTACGAGAAGCGCTCCTGCGTGGCGATCGCGCATGCCAGGTGCTACGGCAGAACACGACTCTATTAATAAATTCTATTTATGCCAAATCAAAGTTACTTTTAATAAAAACTTGACTTTAAAGGAACCACTTAAATATTCTCTAAGCGATATCAACTTAATCTCTTGAAGAGTACACTGGAAAAAAAAAGAAGTGTTTAAGTTTTTGTGTACTTCATCTGCCTTAAATTGCAATAACGATTTAAGTTCTAACTATAAAAATAACTCACACTTTTTAGAAGCGTGTACTACCCAGTTGTATGATTTGAACCAGCGTCCTCTCTAAACGACTGACTGGATGGCAAGGTCTAAAAAGGAAGGATCGCCATTACGATATTTATCTAATTATTTATGCAAACCATTTTGTAACTCTGCTGGGAAAGGGTATTCCATTTGCTTTGCCAAATAAATACCTTGACAAACTTATGTACGTCATGCCCATAAATATAGCTCTACGGATAGCTACTGGAAAATCACTTTTGCTATTTCGCAATCTCACAGGGAGCACAGGTAAAGACATCAACACGGCTTGTTTTCAAGGCCTCGTCACAATTTTATCAGAGCCAAGTGTTGAATCATTGCACAATGATATATTTTGTAGAAAAATTCAGATATTAGAAATGGGCCAGCTATCACTAAAGATGATGTCCCATTGACCGATAGGGCAGCTATCGAGCCAAGGACAAATATCTACTTGTACCTCTTGCTATCATCGCACACACACACACACAACAAAACATAATTAATTTGGCTTTTGATTGTCGCTGCCACAATCTATGGCAGCTAATCTCGCATTGAAGTCTGTTCCCTGTGGGATCGAAATTGTAAAGTTCATAATGTAGCAGAATGCGCTGCTTTTCATGCTTCAGGCTGAGTTATTGTTGGTAATTTTGGAATCAATATGTGTCGATCGATTGGGTGGCAAAAAAAAAAAAAAGAAGAAGGTAGTGCAGAAATTGTTTTGGTTGAAGGCCTTATCGAAACGTTGACACGCAATTGAAAAATGTTAATTTTCTGATATTGATGCTATGCTGTCGCATATATGCCAAGTTCTTGGCGCATTACGAAATTAGAATAAAGTTGTGCTCTACTGAAGCTTGACACACATTCAAATGGAATACAACTGGAAACTTTTGGGTAAATCCTGCTATTTCTTTCGAACCAATGCCTCCTTTTAATCATATTTCTATTTCAGACATCTGCCTGCTGCTGCTGTGCACGACGTTGTCCACGTCTCGAATGCAGTGGAGCATACGAAAACCCACCAATTCGGTGACCATACGACAGAGTGCTGTGAGCATGTGCCTGAATCATGCGAGTGGCAGCTTTGTGGAGCATCCGGACGATTGTCGCATGTTCTATTTGTGCCAGGACAATGGCGATGCTGTGCTTGCCTCCTGCCCGTCCAATATGTATTACAATAAGGTGAACAAAATTTGCGATACGGCTGATAATGTTAAGTGCAAGAATAGCAGCAGCAGCGAGATCAGCAATGCACCTGACACCGGCGAAAACGAGCTGAACAACATGGTCACGGATGCGGCTACTTATTGTGCGACGTTAACGCCACAGGCGGGCACCGATCGGATTGTGTATATTGGCAGCTCGAGCAGTTGCAATAATTATTACATTTGCTATTATGGACAGGCTATACTGCAAGAGTGCAGTGTGGAGCTGCACTGGAATGCAGTGACGGCCAAATGTGACTTGCCGGAGCGCGCCAAGTGCACGCTGGAGGAGAATACAGTGCCTGTGCAGCCGCCTGGTGATATTGCCAGCGAGCTTTTGCATTGCCCGGCCTATGGACAGCATCTGTATCCGCATATGCAGCGCTGCGAATTCTTTATTTATTGTGTTAAAGGTCATGCAACCTTGCAGCAGTGCCCGTTTTACTACTTTTTCGATGTGATCACCAAGACCTGCCAATGGTCACGCACGGCGCTGTGTGTGAGGGATTTGAATTTTCCGCGCCATTAGTAATAATATAATCGATATCGACAGTTCCACAAAAAAAAAACACACACACACACACACACAAAAGAGTGACCGTATCGGTAGCAATTAATCGATACTAAGTATCCGCCTATTCGAGTCGATTAATATTTGTCGTGATGGCATGCCATATTACACCAAAATTTTCAATGCGACGGTCACACTGTTGTTGGCCTGGCCACTGTTTACACGAATTTTTTTATAATTAAAATGATAAATTGTGCAGCGCTGCTTAACAATATGAATTAAATAATAAAACCAAGAATATAGCTTAACTATGTCCTTACTAAAACTCAGCATACAAGTTTTACGACAAGCAACAAAGTAAACAAAAAGGGAGTTATTTTTTTTTATTGAAAAATCGCTACGAAACCGAATCAATAATAAAATTGAGTAGTTTACCTGGTAACAGTTAACATCTGCAGGTAAATGTATGTTGCCATTATACTTGAACGATACACAACATTTCAGAGCAGCCTCGATATTACTGGAAAGTTCTATAGACGTCTTGAACAACTGATTGCGCCAGCAGCATATAAAATAAGTGTCAATTTTGTTGTTTACTTGTGTGTGTGTACGTAAGAAAAATATGTTTGAGAATTTGCTTGGCATTTTTCGTAAACGTCGACGCTGCGATGAGCAACTGTCTCCTCAGCCCAGTTCCAATTACGATAGCGACGAAGACGAATACAATGATGATGAAAATTATGCCCATCCAGCCGAATGGACTGGCGCATATTTTAGCAACTCGCAAATCGATAGGTAATTAATAACTAAATAAAAGTTCTTTTTGCTCTCTTCTTGCAGCCGGTGAGTGTGTATGTGTGTAGCTATCATATATAAACAGTATAAGCATCAGCCAAATAAAACAAAAAACAAGCCCACACAAAAAGCTTAACACATTCCATAACAGCCAAAAGGCCGATCAAGTTTGCTGAAAAGGCGCGAGCTTTGAAACTGTAACAAAAGTCAGACAGAGAAAGCGAGTGCGAGAGTGAGAAAGCGAGAGAGAGAGAGAGAGGGTGAGCGTGAGCGAGAGGCATCTAACAGCTTATCGTTGGTCTTAAGTTCGATCTGGCACCGAGGCCGGACGGCTGCAGCAGATTTTATTGGCACCCTGGATCAGCCGCAGGAAATGGATATTGATGCTCCAATTGCGCTTGGCATGCAGGAGCACAACGACGACGACAATCAGCATAACCACAGCACTTCGCACGTTTATCATTCGGAATCATCAATGAATTTTGATTATTTGCAAGGCCTGCATGCGGATGCAGCATCGTCATCAGGCGGTTCCATTGGCTCCGGCAGCACCTCTTACGGACTTGTCGACGACAGTAGAGCGCTGGACAGGTTGTTATTCCAAACTACATACAAAAAAAAAAAACAACAACACAACAAAAAAAAACACCTCTCGAAACATAAATTTAAATTTAAAATTATTATTATTATTTGTGGCCTTTTGTCGTATTTGTTCACGCTGCTACCTTATGTTTCATCAGCTTATGTAGAATATCATATAGTTTTTTTTTTTTACATACAACTCGATTTGGTAGTGTCTAATAATTATAATTATAATATTGCATAAATATGGTGGTAGCCCAAAAGTGTTTTGAGTGTCGCCCACACAATGTCCAAAAAAGTAATAATAATAAACGTTGTGTGAGTGCCGCTGTATTATTTTTAAGTTTCTACAGCCTAACAACGTTTAACAACAACTTTGCTTGTCTCTTTTCATATCATCAACAACAACAACAACAACAACAAAAACATAAAAATAACCAACATTGGGTAGACCTTTCAATGCGAACGAGCGGTAAAACCACAATTATTGCTAATGCTTATTAAACATATACTAATGTTATGTCCGTTTACAGATTTGTTACAATACTCGATCAGCTGGATGCGCGTGTGGAGAAGTTCCGCAAGGATTCCCTGAATTTACAGGAAAAGAAAGACTACCTCTTAATGTCCATGGATCTCATCAAGAGCAACGAATTGCTGCAAAACATGAGTGAGGGTAAACAGATTTTGAGTACAATGTAAATTTGAAAAACTAAATTGGATAATCTATTTAATACATAGGGGAGCGCGAGGAGATCATGTTGTACATTCAGCGCGTTAGTTCGCGCCTTGCCACGGTTGAGCTGAATGTGCGTACCGTAAGGGACGCTTCCCAGGAGGATTCGCTCAGCCAGATTAATGCCTTAATCGATACAATGATCAAAATGGGTGATCCTGTCATTGGACGTCAGCGTTGTCAGCTATATTTAAATGCCTGCTGCGCCAGCACCATCGATCCCAATGGTCGCATGGGCACACTGCACGAAGCGGATGTGGGTCCGATCGATAAGAAATTCGAAAGTGCCTTGCTTGGCTGCACTCTGGACGATCAGAAGAACATTAAGAAGCGTTTGCAGGCATTAATGGGATATCTTAATAAGCAAACTGTTACCAATTAAATTTTAATAGCTATCAATATGCCGCAATACTATACTGGAATTATGTTATGCGAGGGCAAACGATAAACCAAAACGAAATTAAATACACAATATGCCGACACAAATAAATCGAATCGCATTGTTTAATAGTTTTTCTCTTATCGATGTTTATTGCTTGGCGCGCCACTAATCGATAATTTTCACGTTCACCCACACTAAACAGCTGAGCAAGTGCCGTTAGTTTTGGTTCCATCTTATCATCTGCACATTTTGATTTCATAGGCCCGGATAGCAAATGTCTTGCGGCTTAAGCACACGATCGCTGAGCACCCAAACGGCGCCTTCTACTCCAAAGAATATTTGCTGTATATTCTTAGAGGTTAAATAAATAATCTCATTACCCTCGGCGGTTAAATTTGCCAGCTGAGCGCAACGCACAACTGCGCCAAATTTGGGCATCACATAGAACAGTGCTCCGAAGTAATCCATTATCATGCTGCGACTGGGGCCCAACAAACTGCCCAGTCGAGTGAGCTGTATGTGCAGCATATCCGATGCGGAGGAGGAGGAGGACACAGTGGCTTGTGTGGAGCCTATTAATTGCAGCCTTTTAATGGAACTGAATAGTGCACCATCTTGATCCGAGACAATCAGTTCGCCCTGCACACCAAATGTAAAGTCAATTGGCTTGATGGCAAACGCCTGACTCATGTTTTCATATTTTTTGCTTTGTAGCTCACGACGATGCCAGGTTTGTTCTAGTATATCGTAGGCCAAGATATGCGGTTGGCCATCCAATATAAAGAAGATGTGGCGCTCCAGTTCGCAGCTACTTGGCTTGGGGCCCAGATGTACCACCAGGCTCTGTGTGGCATTGGCCTCAATGTGCTGACCACAATCGATGCGCAACAGCTCAGCATTGTTCCGTATCAAATCGAAGACCAGTAGCTTGGGCGCACATTCATGGTTTGGCCAGCCCACGTCCATGACCCACAGACGGCTCAGGCTATCCACCTGTGACCAATGTGCCTGTTGCAGACGCGTGCAGTCCGTCTTGAGCTCAGCCTTATTTGCATGGACTTCGCTGTTGGGAAAGATGACCGTGCGCATGGGCAAATAGGAAACGGGCCACTGTGCTTCGATCAGTGTGGGAAAGTCATTATGCTCCACGCTTATGCTGAGAAACACTCGCGAAAAGTGTGTGGACAAGTGACGCACGTTGTAACTGGAGTTGTGGAGACCCGCCTGAGACAGCGACCAGCCTCCACAGAGCCCCGTTTCAAGCAGAGAGATCAAGAGAACAACGTAGACACGGAGCCGCGTTTGTGTGTCCATCGTTAAGCGAGCGGACTGCAACTGGAACTCAGCTAAGGCGGCCCCCCAAAACAACAACTGCTTACGTTGTAAATGGAAATTGGCCAAGTCAAGGCAGTTAAACACATTGGTCAAATGTGTCTATCTCAGCATTTGGGATATCGTGTGTCAGCCGACAAATTAAATAAACCGGCAACCTGCATTCGACAAGTGACCAAAAAAAAAAGAAGTTTGCTATCACAAGACGTTCTTTGACGAAATATGTAATATGTAATATGTAATAGGAATATATCCGTCTCAGCTGTTATATTCCCTGAGGTATGAGACTTATGAATAGTATTTATATATTGGGAATCTGTTAAAAATACTTATTTTCGTTACAGAGTTTATAAAAGTTTCATCGCTTGCGATAAAAACAACTGTATCGCCATAAGAAACTGGATACAACTCAATAACTTAGCGGATTTATAAAGCTGGATCTGTTTAGCACAATTGTGTCTGACTGTAGGGTATTAAGTCATCGATGCCTCAAATATTGTTAAACAATATTGCTGTTAACGTATTTACGGATACGTGAACTTTTTTGTTGTGCAATGACTCACATAAATGGGTGTTATCATTATTAACAAATATCATAGATAACCCGTGCACGGATAGTCTTATAAAATAATATAAATATTATTCCCATTCTATAAGCATATTAAAGGGCTGAAGACAGCTTGATATATAAACAAGCGGATTGAGTAATGGCAAGAGAGAGAGAGAGAGAGAGAAAGCAAGAGGGGTGACGAGGGTACATTTGAGTAAGAGCAAGAACTGGGGTACTAATTAAGTAAAAACATGTGAATTTTGAACACATGAGAATTGCATTGTAAATTTCAGCGCAGCAGCAAGTTTGGTACAAGTAAATATAGATATACGCATGTACATACATATGCATATAGATATGTAAATATACATACATACATACATATCATATATGCACAAAACACACATAAGCATATATATATTCATAGATACATACATTCATACATACATACATTCATACATACATACATTCATACATACATACATTTATACATACATACATATATACATACATACATATATACATACATACATATATACATACATACATACATACACATGCACATACATACATACACATGCACATACCTACATACGTACATATGTCTACACACACTCACACAATTAGCATTATTGGGTAAACACGACACTTGTAAGTAACACTGCACTGACTGGTCAGACAAGAAATTCTTCAAGCCCTATTTGAATTTTTGAGAATCGAGGAGGAGAGCTTCATTAAAATTACGTTAATTTTCAAATTTGCATTTGGATAATTGAACACATATACATACAGACATATGCACATATGTACATATATACATACACACATACATACACACATACATACACACATATATACACACATTCATACACACATACATACAAATGCGCATACATATTTACACCAACATATTTATTTTTGTAATATAGAGCAAACCATGCACACATACATAAATACATGTACACACACACGTGCATGCATGCACACATACACGCATGCATATATACAAATATAATGAACTGTACTGATAGGGCATGTAAGCTATATTTAATGTTATCTGATAAGAAAAAAACTCTTAAATGCATAAAATAAGTTCTGTCAAAATTTGCTATTAACTGATGTTATAAAAGAAATTCATGATATTTGTATTATTTTATTAATAGCGTTTATTGCAATACCAAAATTTGAGGAACTGATCGATCAATGGCATGACATCCCCAACATTTTCTTCTATTTCTTGACCTAATCATTATTTTTATGAGTTTCCATACCTGATTTAAACGCACCATTCATGTGCCATTATCTAATCTACAATAATTCGAATTGCTTCTTGAGCTTTTACCAAAAACTAAGCCAGATGTGTTCTTTATTTACACAATTGTTGATAATAGTTTCCTGTACTTTTGTAAATCCCCAAATGATATTTCTATAGATGTATTGTATTATTATGTTAGTATTATCTCAGATGGCTAAAAGCAATTTGTCACGATATTTCTAGAAGTGAACTTTTATCATATCAATCTGTGCTATATTAATCTGATTTTCATTTCAGTTATGTAGATCATAAATTGATAGTATTTTTTGTAAGTGGTTTTCTAAGGACTTACTACCAAAAAGCTGCGATGTGCCTGCGCCGTTGCCTCTTTGAATTTTCGTTTCTAGCGGTTCGAGGAATTGGCTACTTGTTTTTTGGGTACGACAGCACCAGGTTTTATATATCATTTTGTCAGAGCTAAATCTATATAATTATATATATATATATTTTTTTTTTTTTTCATTTTCAGTTTTGTGGAGCTACTCTTTGTGCTGGCTGTAAGTCGCGTCGTTTGGATCCTGGTTGCCTTCGGTCTAACCGGCAGCTTGGTCATCTTCGGCGTTTCGGAGTACATGAAATCAGGTGCTACTACTACAATGGAGAAGTCCCTAACATTTGATGCCCACCCAAACAATGCGACGCAACTGAATATGACGAACATAACGCTGTATTGAGTTCGGTCAACCTATGGAAAACCGTCTATCGGTTCGTCTTTGTCACCCAGGTGGAGCGTTGATTACCGATGTCATGTTATCAGACTATTATTATTATAAGTATTTTTTTTTTTTTTTACCGCGCCACGATATGATTAAAGCTTTTCACAACTCAATGCGACAATTTGGTTTGTGAGCAACGATTACTTCAGTTGTTATTTTGTTTTACGAACAGACGGAACGTTAAAAAATTATTCCGTAAAGGCTATATACTATATAAATTTTGTTTATTGAGGCATATACGTGTACGAAACACTAATTAAAATGTGCAACGCTTGCTGGGAGTGCTTGAAATGCCCGGGCAAAGTGGTTTGCTGGTAAGTCTTGAAGTGCCTCAAACCGTCGTGACTCAGCCTCGGAATGATATAGTTCGAAAATCTTAAGAATATTATATATATAAATGGGTTTTTTTTTTGTTGCGAGATAGTTTGGGAAAGAGCGCGTATAGAGCTGTTATCAGCGAATTCGTATTGCACTTGTTTTATTTATGGATTTTCAGCTCTAATTGATTTATGGCACACCTGAGTTTTTCCTCGAGAGTTTTGCACTGTGTTCGGCGTAAATGTCCAAACTCTGATTAAACAAAACCGACTAAACGCCAGCTAACCAACCAAATCCAATCATTCCGGCTTGAATCACGCAGAGCAACCCCTGAATTTAGTTCATATTTATTAATTTCTCACTCTTTAATCAATTTTTAGTTGCTGCCAATGCGCCTGCAAAATGGTCATGAGCATTATATGCTCTTTCATAGTACTTCTGGTAATTATCGGATTGATCGTCTACTTCACCGTCTACTACCACAAGGACAACAACAACGATGCACAGAAACAGGTGGAGAAAATGCTGCCAATTGTCAAGAGAAGTATACGCGATTACTTCAACAAGGAGGTCTAGAGTAATGCGAGGCTCAAAAGAATTTATAATATAAGTTATAATAGTCAACGAATTAAATAATAATAATAATAAACGAAATAACAACAACCTACAAATTTTGAGCTGTGTGTCTGTCAATAATCTAATCGCGTATCGCTGAGCCGGATTCCCATATAATTGGTTAAGTCTTATCGGGTCGATTGTGCCCAAATAGTTGGTATGGCCCATTTAGAGGGGTTTTTGGCTGGGTTCTGGATTTGGCCGATAACGCAATGAACGTTATATGATTCATAGGAAATATCAACATTTTTTTGGTATATTTTTACCGGGAATGAAAAGAGAGAGCCAAGCAGCAGAGAGGGAGAGAGAGAGGGACTTCCCGCTGGCGAACCCTCATCTGTTGGCAGCTGTTAGGTGAACATTTTTCCCGTATTCCTTTGTTGGATGCGTGCGGGTCGGGTCAGGTAGTCGAAAAATCGAGGGTTGAAATGTGAAAAATGGACTCGTCTCGCGTCAATCACAGTTCAGTTTTAGCCCGCGTAGCGTCAGGTCCTTTTGAGCAATGTCCTCCTCCAATGCCACGTTGTATTACACAGCCATCGACGATATGTTCAAGGAGCTGTTGCTGGACACAAGCGCCGAGGAGCAGCTGGACCATGCTGAGATTGAGGAGCCATTGATGGCCACGCCCAAGCGTCTGGTTCGCATACGCAAGCAGAATTTGTTCGCCAAGGAGCAGAAAGAGTTCGTCATCTGCCGCCGCCTGCCGTTGCCCGCAACCAAGTCAGATTTATCCCCGAGCAGTCAGGAGCTGCGCAAGGAGCGACAGGCGGATGAGCTGCTGCGTCTGCGCCGTCAGCGCTGCGAGGTCGAGCAGAGGAAACCGATGCGACGCCTCACAATGAGAATTTAAACGATCCTGCGATCGATAACAATCGATCGATTTTGCAATCGAATGCAGTGCTTCCGTGCCTTATGCTTTAATTTTAAGCCTCTTCTTATAAGTTGTTCTAAGTATGCAATGGTGATTCAATTAGTTAATACAAAAACCTTTAAAACAACAATTCGTTTTAAAAGCTTTGACAGAAGCTTTTGCTGTTGTCGATTTGCACTGAGAGAAAGCGGGCAAGCGTCTGGGAAGCTTTCAAAGCGACTTTTGCTAGAGAAATTCAAAGGCTTCAGAAATTTGATAAGATCGTGCACTAGCTTTTATATAGATATCATATCAAGCTGCCGTTTGTCCGGGAGAGTGAGAGCGATTTTTGCTAAAGAGCTGAATTTGAAAGTTCTGCACTGAGAGAAATCGGAGTATACTTGGTACAAGATCATTGAGGGCAATTTAGCAAATACTTTTGAACGGATTTTGAGAGATATAAGAAGATAAAAGTTTTCCCATGAAATGGAATACTATACAAAAGCTTTGCACTGCAAGAAATTGGGTACATGGATTGAATACAATTTACGAAATATTTTTGAAGTGATATCTTATATTATATATCTATGCATAAATCATAAAGCCCAATGAAATATTGTTAGTTTTATACTTCTACCTATGAAAAGAATAATAAAATTAATAATTCAGATATTTGGCTCAATTGAAGGTAATTGAAACGTGGAACGATCTCACGTCAATTGCTTAGGGCATTGTTCTCTTCTATTATCAGTAGTATATTCATCTAACCTTGATATGCTTTGATAAGAGTTATTAGCCAAATAGCATTGCCATTTTTCAAGTGCCTTTCCTTAACCTTCAAGATGTTCTCTGAATTTGAAAGGAACGCACTTTAACTTTATGACAGGATTAGCGAGAGAGAAAGAGAGAGAGAGAGAGAGAGAGTTGCCTTTCAAGTGTTGGCTTATCTGAAGATAAGCTAAATTATGGGCACATTATCTTTTGGCTTTATTTTTGGCCAATCCTTGGATTAGTTCACTGCAGCAGGTATTTTTTTTTTTTTTTTTTTTTTTTGGTGTTTACATTTAATATTTATCAGCTGCATGACTTTCACAATTGTCTGTTCATTTAAGCAACACATTTGATTTATGAAACGATTCCGTTATGTTTTGAATATTATATAAAATTATTTGTACTATTTTGTATATATATTTGTTTGTCACGCAATTAATAGAACTTTATGCAAATCATTTCGATTGCAGCCGCAATCCCGAACCCCGTTGACCCCATTTTTTTAAGCGTCATGACTTGTAAAATGTCATGCAATTCCCTAGGGCTGTCTGTTCCAGTCATGGCCATGCCCCAATGCCCCGACCCGCCCAGAGCAGCTCCCGTCGACCAACAACAACAATTACACGCTATAGCATTTATCTCGTGCCGCGTTCCGATGAAGCGCCGAGAACGTGAACGCGAGGAAACCGGATGAAACTTATAACGCTGGAATTTGGAAAAATCGCTGGAGGCGTACGCTTGGCGGGATTTGGCTGAAATTTGGCCGAGAGCTGGCCGGTAGCATTAGCCATAAGTCTGCCAAAAATGAGGGTAATCACATTGCCGCCAGAGACGCAAATCACAAAAGTCTATAGCTTGTAAATGCCAGCTCCGATTTTGTTGATTCTTGAAAAATCAGATACTTTCCATCTCGAGCTAACGATTGGCCAAATTTCAAGCGAATCGCTGGCCATTTAAATGTGCAAAACAATTAAAGAAATACATTTTAAATCGTGCATTTGTTGTAAACAAAAAAACATTTCAAAGTTTCGCTTGGAATTCGCTGCGACTTTATCATCAATGAGACACGCGGCCGGTTGGAGCACCAGACGGCACCATATACAGAGAGAGAGAGAGAGCGAGAGAGCCGGAGAGGAGGGAAAGCCGGGGCCTCTGGTGAGAGCGCTCCAACTAAAAACATGTATAAGCACTTTATGTGGGCTGGAAGAGGGGGTGGGGAGGGGGGTGCTGCGAGTGACGGCGTGTGTTAAATTATATGTGTATAGTTTCATGTTTGATGAACTTTTTAGATTTCAGCTATGGCTGACCTCTATAGATATAGTTGCGATATAAACCTAGACAAGTACGTATACTATTAAGTTTATATCATAGCTAAAAGCTAAATCTAATCGCAGCATATATATACTATATATCAAAGTTTCTTCCATGCTTTGACTTTTATAACTTGTGCATAGATATTGTGATATAGATATATCTGACCTCTGATAGAGTTGCGATATAAACCTAGACATGTTTTTGTAGGCTAATATTCAAAATTTCAAATAATGAAATCCAATTTTAAACCTAAACATAGCTAAAACTTAAATCTAATTGCAGCATATATATACTTTATATCAAAGTTCCTCTTCTTTTATTTCTGATATATATTTGTTTGAAATTCTGTTTTTGGGTGCTAAAATTCCCAAACATGACTAAGTCTTATATCATAGCTTCAGCTTTCATCTAATCATGTCATATAGACTAATCTAATTTCCTTGTGATATATATTCGTTGCGTATTGATCACAATCTGCCAGTCATTCGGTTCGCATTTACGACCATGAATAGCTCATTTGTAAGTGGATTGTCTAATAAGTATATACCTAGATTCATGAAAAAGCGTTTTTCAATAAAATCATTTACGATTAGATCTAGGCTCATGATAGCAGTACGTGCATTCATTCAACTTCCAGTTAAGCACACATGTTTCTGCACATGTCCTTATATACAAAGCTATATACATATATATATATATATATATAAATATGTATATTATTATTATTAAGCTTGAAATAAAACCGGATCTCGCATGATTTCTTAAATATAAATTTATTTTCGGAGTTTATTTGCGTTTGCTTTAGGGTTTCATTGCATTAGCTCAAAAGAACTTCGGTTTATTCTCCAAGATCAGCAAAAACCCAGACGATATTTTTTTGTATGACTGTTAAGATACTTCCTCTGTCAGAATTTTCGGCTTGGGATAAGATCATATTTAGACAGCAGTTAAAAGATAATTTTACAAAATATACATTTATTTGTTATTATTAGCATAATATTCGTCTAAGATTAAGTAATACACATTTTGTCAGACACAAAACAGAAAAAGGATATTCAAGGACATCGTTTAAAATTATTTTTAGTATATACCCCCCTATGTATAAGATTTACGCTTAACATCTATATAGCTGGGTCAGCAGTAGAGACCCTGACCCTCGTTCTGCTCAATGTGGTAATTGCAGTACTGGCGCTGAGTGGGCGTCAATCCGAGCGTTTCCACCTCCGATTTGAATTGCTCGATGCCGCCGACGCCAGCGAGATAGCCGTTCAGTTTGGTGGCCACGTAGCTGGTCTGCAGCAGCTGTTGGTTGAGATTGAGAGATGCGGCCAGATCCTTGTGACCCTGCAGTCTGTACTTCTGATGATAGCTGTTGGCACAGAGCAGGATTAGTATTGGAATTTGGGTTAATTCAATTCTGGGAACTTACTCTTCAGCCGCATAGAAGTTCTCCTTGGGCGCAATGTTCGTGGTAATCACCTCGGGCACACGACGCTCCTGCTCCTCCAGCTTGGAGGCCTCGGCAATCTGTTTCTGTTCATCATCATGGTAGAGTATCAGTGATGCATATTGACGCTTCATGGGCTTGGTCAGGCCGTACTCGTGATTGTTCCAGAACAGATCCAGCAGCTCCTTGAAACTGATCACCGTGGGATCATAGTCAATTTCCAGCACCTCTGTGTGATCACCCCTGCATAGAGTTGAGCGGTTAGTTAGGCGATAAGCGTTAGCAGGTGGCAAAGCGGAGAAGGGCAGAGAGCAGAAATGGTCTTTGTTAGCCCAATTGATGTCCCATTGCACAATGCTTACATTTTACGGTACGTTGGCAATTCGGAGCTGCCGCCGGCATAGCCCACAGTGGTGCGTAGGACTCCCCGCGTTGCGCCATACAGCGACTCGGCGCCCCAGAAGCAGCCCATGCCAAATGTGGCCGTCGCATAGCTGACATTCAAGCGATGCACTGGCGCAAGATTCAGCTCCTTTTGCTCGTTGCGCACGGTGCTCTGTTTAAAGGAACAAAAAAGAAACAACAACAAAAAAAATGAATTAAGGGCGACAAGTTGAATGCACTCTACGCAGTCAGCACACCAGAAACAGAAAAGTGAGTCCGTAGCCAAAGCCTGGCAGACAGCGCATCATGCACAAACGTGTAAAGTATATTTAACAAAAAAATCCAAAAAAATAAAAAAGTAAAACGTGTCGCCTTTTGAAGTTCTTTGGCAGCGACTGCGTTTCGCCGACAACTGAAAGCTGTGCTCGTGCTCTTTGCATTTTGACTTGCTCTTTGACATGAATTCGCCACTCTCAGCGCCGCTCAGCTGTTTGAGAGAAGAGAGCAGCTGTTTGCCGTGCTGTGACGTCGACAGCGACGTCGTAACGCGTCGCGTCGCGTCGCTGCAGCCCAGTCAAGGTCAATTTGGTGTGCAAATAGTTAATGCAAAGAAAACGAAAGTTACACGAAACGATTTATAGCACACGCATAATAGTTTAATATTTTTCGTGTTTAATATGTTGCTTAGGCAGCAAGTAATCAGAATTTAAGTATTAAATCACATTGTACTTGCCCTAAAATTACGAAACAGACGCGCAAACATTTTTGGCAGTTGTTAAAGCTTTGCTAGTTGGTCGTCTACTAAAGCTGGCCAAAGCAAATTTCTGTTAGCTTAAAGACGAGCGCCATAAAATCGAAACAATGCGGCAATAGAAGCTTCAAAATTGCTGTACTGGCCTTGCAAAAGTTCAAAGCACTCGGAAACTTAATTGAAGTTAATTTGAATTGTTTGCACACACTTAATGTCACTTTTTATAATTTAGTGCTTACCAAATCCTTGAGCTCAGCAGTCGAAACATCTTTGGTGATAGTCAACGACATGTTTTTACGTTGATTTTTGTAATGCTTTGCTTTAAGAAATGCGAGCAACTGTTGACTTTAAGCAAGTTTCCGCTCATTTTATAGCCGCCCGCCAAAGCGCATTGACTACTTTGATAACATTCTGTTCATCCAGTGGGAGACAGAGAGAGTAAAAAGAAGAGAGAGAGATTGAGAGAGCAACCAGTAAAAGTGTTGCGGCAACATTCAAGCATGTTGTTTAGCTAGCCGAGCGTGCGCTCTTTATTTGAGCTTTCAATAACAGCTTTTACAGTGCCTTAAAATAATTTACTACGAGTAATTTCATTTATATATATATATATGTACACATTTTTACCATAAATAATAATGCCACTTTATGGAATAGGCTGCAGTCTTGTGTTTAATGGAGCTCAAACTGTTTGCTACTTGTTCGGCTCGTATTTAAGTCGGCTCAGACGTAAAATGAAATCAAGCAGGAACATTTGTATTTTGATTTCCTTGGGATTCTGTGTATTATAAAAACCAGGTACGCCTGCCTTTTGTAGCATCGATTGTTGGTCATAAACCTAAATTAATATATTTTAGGAAATTTGGTTTTGTTTTGCTTCAGTTTTCGGTGTAAACTTGCCTTCTGATCCAGCACTTCGATTATTTTCTTGTCTGTTTCCAGCAATTTTTTGGTGTGCTTGATATTCATAAGACCCAGTATATGCTGCAGCTCCTCCGGATCCTTGATCTTGCCACGCCAATCGGCCACCTCGATTTCATATTCATTTTCCACTTGCGCCCGCATCTGTATCAGATGCTTCTCTGTTACATGCTGCAGTTCCATTAGCGCCTTGACTATATCGAAGATGCTTTCGTTTAATACACAATTCGCCAGTTCTGTGAGCAGATCATAGGAGATGCGTGTCTGCAAGGTTCTACATTTAAATGGCATATTTAACATTTTCCAGTTGATTTCAACATAACACTCACTCTGGGAGCTCGGCGTGCATTTCTTTAAGCTGATCCACTGAAAACAACAAGTTGCTAAATAAGAGCTGCTGCCAAATGCAATAAACACATACTTAGGAAATAGATTTTGCGCTGCAAAAACTCGGGCGTATGATGCTGCTGCGGTTTCTCTGTCTCCTTTACCGATTCGATTGAGTTTGGCTCATCGGTCACTGGAGCGTCTTCCATAGTTTTCGGCTGTCTTATATTTAAAGGGAACCTACACAAATTGAGTTGCAATAGCAGTGTCCACACGGCTTCCGATTTAGTTAGCTCGCCCGAACAGATGTTTTAAGGTAATCAGGGCTGAAATCAGCATCAGCTTGAGTGTGACCATAACAATTCTTTCTATCCACATATCGAAAAGTGGCGCACCGTTTAAATTATAAATAGAACTTGAATGTAAATATATTTTGTATTCTGAACTATGATGTTTTGATTTTATAAAGAAATATTCAGACTTTAATAGTATCTGATGGAATAAGAGATGTATTTTGTCAAATCCTTGCTGCCTGAGCAAATAATCAAGCAAAGCCTTCACAGCGGTTGTGGCATTCGGCCGTGGTGAATAACAGCAACACGGCCAGTGTGACCACAACAATTTTATCTGACCACATAATATAAAGCGCGAAAAATACAATTTAGAAATAAGGCATGAGCATTTTTAATTGTATTTGATTCAGAAAAATATATTTGATTTAAAATCAAAGGTGATTATTGCTACTGATTACATCAAAACTATTAGTTATGTTAAAAATTAAGCGATTTGCGTGCCTTAATAAAATGTTTGTCCGTCTCATAGTTGTAGACGCGATTTAGTTTAATTTTTCGTCGCTTTTTGAGTTCCGTTAAAAATGTGACAGCTCCAGAACAGGGTGTAGCAGGCACATGCGACTTCTTAACATCCTCAGAATAGCATTCACGTTTTCCGACATCGCGTTGTGGTTGCTTTGGTGTCTCAACAATTTTGAGGCTGATTAGGCGCTGTAAAACTTGACTTGTTTCGATGCTCGCCATGATTGAATATGCAATATTTGACTTCGATACGCTGATCTTTGGCCGGAAAATCTGAGCGATGCTGACGGATGCTGCCTTGTAACTAATTTCCCAAACAGCTTATTCCTGACTTTTATACTTTAATAGGACAGTAGATGTCCGGGCAAATTTAATTAGTCCGTCATAAAGTTGTGCAAATTTCCACAAAATTATCGATGCAGCTGTCCGCGAGAACAGGTAACCGTAATAAACACGGTGTAAGAGATTTATGATTTTCCGATGAAAAACGCGTAATCTCTGTTTAATGAGTTTAAAAGTGAGCAGGTAAAAATTTAAATCCTGCATATGGCGTGTACACACTGGAACCCCACCATATGTTTTCAGAATTCAAGTGCACATGTGTATGTGTGTGAGTGGGCTAGCGAGCACAGTGTGAAGCTATTGCAGTGTGGGGGATACGTTACAAATGTGTTACGCGTACGGCGAGGCAGGCAAATCAGTCGCTAACCCTTCCGCATTCAATAATATAATTGGCAATAAATTCAGGCAATTGATTTGGACAATTGTAAATCAGTAACAGCGAATAACATCAGTAAAAGACATCGATAGATATAAAAGTCAAAGCTAACTGTGAATATTGTGTAATTGCTTGAATGAGAAGATGAAATTGAAATGAAACAGCAGAAGCAACAACAAAAACAACAAGAGCAAAGAGAACAGCTTGTCAACAGTTGGATTTAAATAATATTCATAAAATCATATGATTTAAAAAAAAAAAAAAACAAATATTTCTACGTCAAAGGCAAACAAAACAAACTAAAAATATAAATCAAAGGAAAATCGTTTGCTAGCATAAGAACTACATTAAAAATTACATAAAATTGACATGTACACAGTAAACAAGGGACCTAGCAAAATTGTTGCTAAGACGCGACGCGGTAAGTTACAATTCGTATTTACATACATTTAAACATATAAGGTGTAAAAAGTACAATAAACCCTACGAGAAGGGCGACCGCCTGCAAAAAAGTGTTGCTGTTATGTCACAACACACGCCGCTGCTGCCGACAGAAGCAGCGCTGCTTAGCTCTCATACGGCTCTCTTATGCGCTCGCGCTCGCGCTCGCTCTTTCTCTTTTGTTTTGTACTTTTTGCCGGCAAATCGAATTTACATTCAAACAATAACAAACAAACAAACACCCACAGGTCTGCCGCAAAACTTTGAAAAGTTCGAGAGCATCAAGGAGAGCGGCAAGAAACATGGGAGCATCAGCAGCAGCTTTGATCTGAACAGTCCCGAGAAGAACAAGAAGTAAGTGAACGAACGGCACTTGTGTGCGTGGGGCTCTTATGCAAACGATGAACGACGCGCTGCACTGCGGCTTATCTCGTAGCATTAATTTTATCACAAAAAGAAGCCTACGGTGTCGACCTTTCTATATAACACAGACACGTTAATTGAGAAACCAGAGCAGTCGCACAGACAACACGTGGGTCAGTGTCGGTTATCACCAGCAGCAGCAGCACATTGACTTTTGTCTCTGCCATTTTCTGCCCGTTACGTCACAAAAGTGCTCCGCTAAAGATTTTCCATTACTAAATTTATTTTCGTAGTCCACATGTGCGTGACGTACATACATACATATGTTTGCATAAGTGCTCACTTGTGTTTGCATGTGTGCATGTGTGCATTTTGTATTCTTATGTTAATATTCGTTCATTTGAATTTCTTAGCATACCGCGCCCGGTATTTCAACAGAGCTTCGCTTCGAAACGCATTGCGCCCACAAAACTTATTGAGGATGAGGTGATAACGCCGCAGCATGAGGAGATAATACGCTACATAAATGACTGTAAGCAGCAAATTTTTTTGTTCTTAATTTGAATTAATTTTCTTATACATATCACTGTCAGCATGGAACATTTTGGTCGCACAAAATCCGTATGATTCCAGCACAGCAAAGCCCGACGGAAAGGCCGATGCCAACAATAACAGTGCCAGCACCTTGGCTACGCCCAGTCCTGTGGACAGCATCATAGCCAATACACCCGTAGCGGCATCGGCAGCGCCGGCCGTTTGGGTAGAGCCGCCGAGTCCGGCACTGAACGATTTTAAGCCATTCGATTTGGAGTCCTGGTGGGGACGTCGTTTGTTCCACAACATTACCAAAAGCCTATAGACTGATTGGCCATTGGTTATGTTATTTGATTAGTCGGTGCTTCCGTTATAACTATTCTTACATCTAATTTCGACTGGAAATCAAATTCACATTAGATATAAAGAGAAATATAGCGGTTAAGTTATCATTTTGCAATTTTAGATTAGCCGTTTGGTAAAGTCCTAGTGACGACATGCGTAGGCACATTTTATCTTTTTCTAGTATATAAATATAAATTTAAAACTCTTCCCAGTTGGCCGTGTAAATAATTCGATACAAAAGTCATTGTATGATTTTTTCATATTAAACTAAGATTGATTCTGATTAAGTTCTATATATACATTTATATATATATATATATAAGAGCAAAACATGTTTATAGTCTCGTTTGTGCACTAGCCAGTTTTTAATTTTTAAATCTAGAGCAAAAATTGTAATTTTTTAACTTAGCATGTCCAAAGAGAAACAGGCTCTAAGGCGAGTTTTTTAATTTTGTATTTTGAGCCCACGCGTGGCACCTGCCGAGCAGAATTTGTTTCTTTAGATATACCATAAAAGAAAGTTTAAATATATAACACACTTTAGTTGCTAGAAAAGAATATTTTCCTAGTAGGTTTTAATAAGAACGCACATCAGTTGCAAATCGACTCGGCACGTGTTAGCCCGCGCTTAAATTTCCTCAATTTTTTTTTTATATTTGTTAAAAGGCGCGAATGACAAGTAGGTATACCTAAAATTGTTAATATTGAAATAATTTGTACCATTAAAATGGTTGCATAAATAAATGCAATTGAAAAGTTTTTGAAATCTTGCGTATTTAACAATGTTAAACTGTTGTCTGGTAATTAACAGAAAAAGAAAAACGGCGTTTTTATTTGCTCTGTTAACTCCCTTTTGAGTGGTCGCGCCACTCAATACGTTGTTACGATTACGTGACGTAGCACATTTGTATTATCGTTACGGCTTTTGCGTTAGCGTTAAGCTTTTTTGCGTTAGCATTGAGCTTTGTGCGCAATCATTTAATAGGCAACTACAGCTGAGCGCCGGCAAACAAAACTTCAATTAATTTATTAAAAACTTAAAAATGTCGTGCGTCGAAGCAGTAAGTGAACTAGAGACGCGCCTGGGCGAGGCCACACTGGAGGATGTGGCTGGTCGCCATCGTCGTGAGCGCAAAGAGCTGCAAGCCAAATTGCAGGCAATGAAGAAGAATGCGCCGAAGAATAACAAAAATAAACGCAAGGAGTTCCTGGAGGAGATGGCGCGTCTAGAGGGTGAACTGGAACAGCGCCAGAAGGCTGAACTCGAGGTAGTCACCACCGAGGCACCGGCCGTCATCGAGCAACCAGCCAAAAAAGCGCCAGCTGCGGACAGCGACAACGACGAAGAGGACGATGCAGTGCAGCCGGCGCAGCAGCGTGTATCCAAGGCCCAAAAGCGTCGCAACAAAAAGGAAAAGGAGGCACGTGAACGCGAGCAGGAAATACGCGTAGAACTGCAAAATGCGGCCAATCAGCCATCGCCAAAGCAAATCGAGCTGCAACAGATCATAGCCAAGTTGAGCGGTCGCCAGCTGGCGCTGCACATGATCGCCTCGGACGGTGACTGTCTGTACAATGCGGTGCGCCACCAGCTGCAGCTGCACGCGTTGCCCGGCCACACTGTTCAGGAGCTGCGCACCGAGACAGGGAACTATGTGCGCGCGCACAAGGAAAATCTCATCTGCTACATGACCCATCCGGACACGGGCGAGCTGCTTAATGACGAGCAATTCGAAGCCTACTGCCGGGACATAGCCAAGACGCACGCCTGGGGCGGGCACATTGAGCTGAAGGCGCTCTCCTCGCTGCTACGTGTGCCCATCGAGGTTATCCAAGCGGAGGGCGCTGCCACGCTGCTGGGCCAAGAGGAGTTCGGCGGTGCGCCACTAGTCATCTGTTACCATCGCCATATTTATCAATTGGGCGCACATTACAACTCCACGGTGCCGCTGGAGCAATAAGGCAGCCAACTTAAAATGATATCTGATTTGTAACAATTTAATTGAATTAATATATTGATTTACATATATAACTATATATACAAATATGCATTTGGAAGATTTGAATTATTGTCAAAATTTGCAAATAGTTCGATACGCTTTGTACAAATGTTATTCATTAAATAACAACAATTAGATTAGTTTGGGCATACTTTACAAAATCGTAAGTATCTTAAATACATGTAAAATCTGTTCATTTAAAGTACTTTCGAAGGGGCATTTGTGATCAGATTGGAAACAATACAAAATGCGATTAGAAAGCCGCATTTGAGTATCTTGCAATGTATTTAAATTGTTTATGAATTGTCTTTTGTTATTCTGTAAAGTAGAAGCTTAGTTAATTAAATCCATGGAACCCGGCCTGATAATGCTCAATTAATTGTTTAGTAAAAATAGTTCTAGAAGCGATTTGTTTTCTCTAAAAAAAATATTCCTTAGTTCAATTACAATTTTGATTTTAGTTACTTGTTTTTATCTAACTATATAAAAGGCGCCATGAAAGAGAAAGAGTTATACCCTTTCTTTCCAAACTATTCTTGTTTAATTTTCCTCTCTTTTAAGAAAATTTTCATCTTGCTTAATGAAGATATTCCAGGTACTTGAACAGAGTCGTTTATTTTTCCTTCTTGGCGGACTTGGCATTGGGCTTCTTAGCGGGCGTGCTGGGATAGAGAACAAACATCGCCAGCTGAATGCTGCCCAAAATCCACAGGAACAAATTCTGGTACTAAAATGGAGAATATAACATATTAGAAAACTATTCTATATAATGTATACAATATTTTCAAAACTTACCACCATGACATGATTGCGTATGGACAGTGCGTACAGCGTCCAGGCTGTGGCAACCAGTTGACCGGCAAATATAATGGGAAAGGGCATGCCCTCAGTGCTTTTCTTCTTAATAATATTGGGCAGATTCAGCAGCGGGGAGCCAACCAGCCAAACGAGAATGGATGTGATCAGCATGCCCAGACGGAACTCGATCTGCTTGGGATCCTCAAAGTTTGCATAGGCTATGCAGGCCATCAGAAACAGGGAGACGTAGCCAATTTTGATCCAGATTTTCGATTTGTTCTCACTGGAGGCATAATAATAAAAGCCGACCATGAAAACTGTATTGATGGCAAATCCAATTATATTGACATTTATCATTGGCTGATCGCCCATCAATTGGCCCAGCTTCAAGCTAAGAACTGTGCTGTGGGTTTTTGAGAAAATACAAACAATTATTTAAAAATTAATAAAAAAAAAAATGCAATATTTCAACTGATTACAAGCCGTAAATGTGTCCCAATAGTATTGTTAGTGGGGCACATCTATTCGAATTTCACAATATCTGCCATTTCGAGTATTTCACTGATAACACATATTTCTATACATTATCTAATTAGCTAGCTTATCGTTAATATGCGTTAAAACCCATTCACGATTGGAGCATACGTGTTCCTCGAGGTGGAACAGGAACAACATAATTACTATGTTAAAATTTATTTTGCCTGCAACTCAAGTATTGCAATATATCTAGAAAAATGTGGTTTATTTCCGATCTAAAAAAACTTCTAATAAATGGAAATGTTAAAGATATTATAAAAACTATTTGCAATAAGTGCCTGATATTTAATTTGTATTTCGTCAACTTCTAATAATTATTAGATTCAAGAAAAGGTCCATTTCGGCGGAAAGATCCTGTAGAAAAAGATATATCCTTTCACGAACCAAGGATATGGGCTTCATTCAAAATGTCCTTTGCAGGAAAATGGCTCCAGCTGGGTCATGTGCTTGCAGCATAGGTTCATAGGACGCCAGGACCCTTCCCTGTCCGTTTTCCATTAGAGGAAATGGATGGCATGCCAGGATCTAATCAGTTACAGAAATCTCCGGTCAGCATAGTGGAGCACTCAACTCCTCCAACCGCCGGCGGCTCTAGCTAAACAATATAGAAACACGCAACTGTTGCGCCTGACGCGGATTCTTGCGTGTCTTTGAGCACTTAGCCTCATTTGCATTCGCATTTTCATTTGCATTTTCATTAAAGAAAATCAGCACGTGGCGTGGGCAAGGTCGACGCCTTAGCTGGGCCAAAAATGGGTTTGTCCCGCTGACAGATTAGCTAAGCTCGGGCGACTAGCCCAAGTGTCGACTGGCGCATATTAAGCGTTAATGATAATATATATTACGACTATGTATGCGAAGATAAGATGTACGTGCTGGCCGTCGCCTGGGCGCGATAAGGCATCTCCGGAGCCAGCCAGAAGACTTCCAAATTGTGTTGACTTTTTCCTTAATTGGGGCTCTTATTTGCTTTATGTAACAACCGTCAATTGTCATTGCCCGATCTTCTTAACTGGCAGCCGACAATTTGATTTTGTCCTTGAACTCAGCAGACACACAGAGTTACCCTAACCCACTGACACCCCCCCCCCCCTCTTTTTTTGTTTGGTTCCAAGCCTGCCGCCATTTGGCAGCGTCATGGCGACAATTCAAAAAATTTAATCAATTTCACACGGCTACAATTTGTGATTTTTTCTATTGCTATCTGTGTGTTTGTCTGTGTGTGTGTGTGTGTGCAGTCAAGCGGCGCTATTTTGTGTTTTTTATGGGTTTTTTTTTACTTACAGCACAATACCGCCCAAAAACGGTCCAACGGGATAAACATCGCTGCTGCCCTTTTTGCGTATATCATTTAGCAGAGCGACACCGGACAGAAATTGTAGTGTAGTTATTGTGCCGGCTATTTTGCCTATGGTCTCGCTGTATGGTGCCAATAAGTCGCTCAGTGCATCCATTTTGTCTGTGGGGCAGCTGTGTTCTTATGTTGTACTCGGTAAACTTGTTTTACTACGCGCACTTAACGTTGGGTCCGGGTGGGGTAGCAAGTTTTTAATCGCGTCGTTTTTTTTAATATAAACAAATGCGAAATAACAAAAAGAAACTAAAATCTAACGACCAAACGAAACGGGCTGCCGCTGCCGTAACAACTGACTACTGGCTCCACAGTGTGGGGCTGTCAACCTTTTATAAACGAAAATTGGCTAGATAAGCGCACACTGGCAGCACATATCGATTCAACGTGTCACGCGGTTATCGTTATCGCTGGCAACACATATCGATAGCACTTTTGTCGTATTTCGCAATTTGAATTGTATTTGCATATCGTTAACACTAGACAGCCTTAAATTATTAAACATCCTCTCGCAGTACATGCTTCTTCTTTTCGCTGACAAATGGCACCTTGCCCTTCTTGGAGTGCTTGCGCACATTGGCCTCCTTGACCAGTTCCTTGTCCTTGACCATACGCATCTTCCTCTGCGCATTGAGCACATGCCGCGGCACCTGTCGATGGCGCGCTATGCGTTTGATTTGCGGATGGGCTGCATATTTCTCCTTGAGTGCCTCCTGATAGTTGAAGTTGGCACGCTCGCGCGGACGTATGATGCCAAGCTTCTCCGAGGCATTCGCCTTCCACATGCGCACATTCATTTCATCGGAGCCAGAGAATATGTAGCGATTGTCCAGGGACCAGGCAACGCACACCACATGCTGCATTCGCTTGGTGTGATAAATATCACGGGAGTGGCTTTGATGTGCATTATAGATGCGCACAGTCTTGTCATAGCTGGCCGAGACAAACTCCTGGCCCGTGGGCGCATAGTCCACGTCAGTCACAGCCGAAACGTGGTCAAAGTGAACCTTCAGCGGCGTCCTTAGCTTGCGCGTATCAAATGTATAAAGACTGAAAAGAGTAATTGTTTAGTATTTCATTTTTGGCTATTGCTTAATCTCTGCTTACTTGCAATCCTCGTTGGCCACGGTAAAGTTGAACGCCTCCATTGGATTCCAGGCCAGTTTGTTGCTCTTCATAGTCAGGACAACTTTGCGCAGCGGCTGCGCCTCGCGTTGATCGTACAAAATAATGCTGCGATCGCTGGCACAGCAGGCGAGCACATTTGTTTCCACAGGATTATAGGAGATGGTGTGCAGCGTGTCCACGCCCCATTTGAGCGTCTTGATGGGATCGTTGTGCTTTTCATCCCAAATGGCGCACACCTCGCCGCATGTGGCAAAGCTGTTGTCCTTGCGATTGTGCGAAATGCCATGCAAAATATGACGACTTAGTATTGTGTTAACTGGCTCCTCTTCCTGGCCCACATCTGGCGCCTGTGAGCTCCACACTTTAATCGTTTTGTCATCGCCCACGGTAAACAAACGTTCCCCATTGCGCGCATATGCAATGCCACGTACATAGCCATCGTGTGCCACAAAGCTACGCACGCTGGTGCGGTTGGCCAAATCCCAGATGCGCACCTCGCCATCGTAGGCGCCAGTGGCCAATGTTGACAGCAATTTGGGATGTTTGCCAAAGCAGGCGACGCCATCGCGGTGACCGCTCAAATTGCACACAAAAGGCTTGGCAAATACGCGATCCAATTTGGTGGCATTCAGTGCGCGCACATACTCCCTGGCACCCTCCAGTGGATGCAGCGCCGGATCGTAGTTTCGTGGAACTGCAATTTGGGAGTGGTTTAGTGTTTTTCCATCTTGACAACAGCAAGCATAAATTAGTTTGCTGTGCGACTAACCTTTGTGTTGCTGCAGCTTGGTTTCCCGGACATAATTGTCCGGGTTGCGACTTATCATTTTCACCTTCATTTTGTAAACAGCATCAATAAATTTCACCAGTTGATATTTTGTTTAACAAAAAAACCAAAACATGTGCGCACTTAGGTATGGTAAAGCGGTAGTATCGATAGTAGCAATTCGTGCATTAGGTATGGTCATATCGTAATATCGATACTATCGTTTAATTTTGTTGCCGCTGAACAGCTGTTCTGGTCTGTTAGGTTACGCGCGCAACAAAATAAATTTGAATATTGCAACAGGTGTGTATGCGATTATGTGTTGCGTGCATTTATGATTTAATTTTTTAATTTAATATGTATAACAACCGAAAATAACGACAATGCATACAAAAGTACCGGCATCAAAGGTATTGCACAAATAATCATCAGAGAGCGTATCCCAAACGGCACGAAAGCCGTGGAAGAAACCGGCACCGTTCTGTTGATATATTGAAACATTTATGACATGCTTGTAACGCTGTTGCAGGCAAAAGCCCTTCATTTTCGAGTTGATCGTATCAGCTACATCGCGCACCCACTTCACAGCATCCCCAGCTAGATATGTCTTGCCTGTGTCCATACAAAGGGCAACTAAATCAAACGGTTCTCACTTTGAATATGCATTCTTACCTTTTAGCTTTTCCATCAAAACACGCTCGACCATAAATCGTATAAACGGTAAGGGAAATTTGCAGCCAAATGCGGGGCCCATATCGTACTCATTGTAAATGGTGACATCTGTGGCCGGCGATGCTTCCGGATGCGGTTCATCTGAATCCGAATCGGACTCCACGAAACTGCCAGTTAGATTCGCCGGTGTACTCAGTTTATCTACGCTAACTACCTCGTTTCCCTTAGTTTTATCTTGAGTGATAGTAACGCGATTCGAATTACGTGATTTTCGCACTTTTGTCGGCTGAACAAGAGTGCGTTTTCGGTTTTTCGTATCGAATAGCGGCATCTTGCCTTAGTTTTAAGATATATCAGATTATTAAGATTTAAATTAATTTGCCTTTCTTTCAGTACTGCTCCATTATGATAAACTAAACAACGATCACTGTGTTGTTCAAAAAATTTGTTCACCTTAGGCAAATTGTGATTCGATATAATCTTGACATTCAACAGAAAGGGAACTGGGTTCGAGTAACAGATCAGACCAGATCAGAGGCAACAACACGTTTGATTACGTTTAAATTTTTTTATTTAGTGCGCGTACTATTTTTTACTATTTTCCTTGCTAGGCTTAACTCTTTTTTTTGCTTTAATTCTTCTTCCAAAAATTTCAAATAAAACATGTAACTTTGCAGGCAAATGAAATGAATGAATAAATTGAATTCTATTTGGAACCATTTTCAATGCTTCTGACGTTTCCGATGTCGCCGCTTCAGTTTTGGTGCATCCACTTGCGATGGACCGATCGAACTGAACCCAGACGAGGCAGTGGTGCTCAGCTCTGGGCTGGGCAACTTCGCGTCCTGTTCAACGTGCAGGCCCTGCTGCCGTTCCAGCTCCTGTAGTTTGCGCAAACAGCAACAATTGCGCAGCGAGCGCATAAATAACTCCAAATTTTGATTGAATTTGGTTAAATGCTGCTCGCTGATGCCGGAGGAGCTGTGATCGCAGCTCTCAATGCTCATCTGAGCGTGCAGAATGCATTCGCTGGCATAGCCCAGCGTCTCCTTGAGGATGCAGATCTGTTGCTTCTTCTTCTGCTGCATGTGCATATAACGTGTACACAGCGCTTCCAGACGCCGGTGCTCGCTGCGATAATCATTGCAAATGGTATCATATTTGCCACGCAACACCTCCAGGTCGCACTGAAGCAGCTTTATGGCCTTATCCTTTTTGGCCAACTGTCGATGGGTTTGACGATGCGAGGCTTGCAGTTCGTCGTAACTGAAAGTGATAAAATAAAGTGAACGATTAGTTTATAGGGTCCAATTCAGCATTGAGTCGAGCTTAATTTTTTTCTTACTAAGCACTTGAAAGCTTTTATTTATATTCCCTAGTTCAGCAATAAGTCGTGCTTTAACATTATTCTTATTCAAAGTTTTTTAAACTTTGAAGTTTTCAAAAGCTTTAATTTATTAACCGAGCTTTTTATTTTTAAATGTTGTGGGCTAATAAAAGCTTTTGAAAGCATTAATGTATACGGGCAAGTTCAGCTTTTTTACAAACTCAAAGCTGTTGAAAGCAGTTAAAGCTTGTACGTTATCATTTGACCTATTCGATATACAGCAAAAGGTCGAGCTTTATTCTGAATATTAAGCGGCTTAAAGCTTTTGGAAGCTTTTTAAACATACTTACCGCTGTTGCATTAGCATTGGACTAATCGAGCCGTATAGTTCGTCTTTGGTATGCAGCCGCATGCCGTTCAACAGCTGGGACTCCGGCTCACTCTCGCTGGAGGAGTCGCTGTCGACGCCACGCAGCAATTGCACCAGTCGCTCATTGCGTTGCTTTTCGGTGTCCAGCGAAAAGTTAAGCTCGTGTATGCGCTCCGTTTGATGCTCCAGTGCCATGCGCAACTTGAACTCCCGCTGCTGATCCTCGTAGAGCGTGTGCTCCAGCTCACTGACCTTGTCCAGAATCAGATGAACCGTTCGCTTATACGGCAAACGGCGTGGATTGATTCGCAACACAGGCTCAGTGAGTTGATGGCCACTGAGATTGTCCAGCTCTGTGGAATCGCTGTTGCTGCTGCTCGGCGGCGTCGATAGCGTAGCTGGCCTTGTGGGGCTTTCGCTTGCCGTTGCCGTTGTGTCCAGCTGCTTCTTGGAGCCGACGGCAATTCTCAGACTGTTGCTCAGGCTTCTGGCCAACGCGCCCAAGTTCATCCTTGGTCTGTGAAGTGTTCAACTGTCGTGTTCGTGGTCGTGTGTGCAAAGTTGTTTTTTTTTTATTCGCCTTGTTTGTTTGTTGTGTTGTGTGCTGTTAGCTTTGACTGCGTCGTCGACTGCTTTGTGCCTAGTTTGCTTTCTTTTTTTTTAAACTTATTTTATTTTGTTCACTCCTCACCAGCCGCTCTCCATATGGTTAGGCCAACTTTTTAAATTGGTTTCAGTTCTTAACACCTTCCATCCAGCAGTTTCTTTGGCACTCAATCAAAGTTTTCCATGTTTTGGGGGCACTTGTCTCTCCGCTGCGCTTGTTAGTCGTGCGTAAATTGCCGTTAGCAAAGGGTCTGCACAGTTAGTACACTTATTGCATTTTTATGGTTAAAAGTTTTTGTGGCTCAAAGTGTGTCCTTGATTGGAATGGAAAACGGAATGAGCTGAGCCCTGATTGCGTCAACTCGGTGCATAAAGGATTACATGTATATATATATGAGAGTACTTTTAAGAAGGCTGAAGAAATGGGCCCAATTGTCATATAGAAGTTCATACGGAATGGGAACAGCTGGTATATAGAAGAGCTACAGATTGCAGAAAAATATAGTTATAGAAGAGCGTCGTTTTTATGTAGCTCGAGTAGCCGATTAGTAATATAGTTTTTTATACCCTGAACACATTAAAAATGGGTATAAGGGTATATTGTATTTGGAAGTATATATATTCTTGATCAGCATCAATAGCCGAGTCGATCTAGCCATGTCCGTCTGACTGTCTGTCCGTCTGTCCGTATGTATGAACGCAAGGATCTCAGAACTCAAAATTTTAGATGAAGGTGCTCCTAGTGCCTGCGCAGATCGAGTTTGTTTCCGATAATCGATAAGTTACTCCGTTTCCAAGCAATCGATACAAATCGATATCGATATCCTGTTTTTTGGGCAATTTTGGTAAATAATAAGAGCTAGAGTCACCGAACTTAACATATAGCTTCTAAAATAGAATATATATATGCATCTGATGTTGGAAGAAGAGGATTCAGTGTATCCCCTAGTCGGGAGCTAACGACTAGAACCCCTTACTTGTTTTTATTTTATTTTATATATTTGCAGTATTTTTTTTTAAATCAATATTTTAGGTTTATTTACGTTTTAGCTTTTATCGGCTTATCTTTAATGGACAAGTTACGTTTCATTTGAGCTTTTGTTGCTATAGCTGTAAACTTATTCACTTAATTGATAAATTGCAGTTTCATAAACAAATCTTATCTATACGCACAGCACACAGATAATAAAATATATGGTGTGCATTGTAAATGGAAGTGTTTGGCTTTTTATGTTTGTCATAAATAAATAGCTAAAAGCTAAAATATTAGCTTTTATTATGTTTTCGGCACAGACAAAAGGTGGCTGCAGCGGATCTGTTAAGTCTATCAAACATAACCGGAAAATGGAATATCTGAAGTGCCCTCTCTCTCTATCTCTCTCTCTCTCTCTCTCGCATATGTGTTGATAAGCCAAGCCAGTCGCTGCGCTCTTTTCGTCTGCCGCAGCTTTTGTAACAGCTGAGACGCACGAGCTTCATTCTGCTGCGAAGCTTTGACGGCGCTGGCAGCTGTCTCTCTGGAAGGGCAAGCGCAATTGTAACAGTTAATTAAATATATATATATAAATAAGACTTGGAATCTGTTTGTTGTTGTTGTTGCCCGCTGGTGTTTCCACTGCCAGACGATGTCACGCCTCATTGCCGGCGCCCGCGGCCTATTCAGACGCCATCCCTTTGTGACCAACAGCGCCATCTATGGCAGCCTCTATGTGGGTGCGGAGTTCACACAGCAATATGTCTCCAAGCGTTGGCTGGCGGTGAGTAAAGCAGTTGCATACATATGTATGTATGCGCGGGGGGAGGCTAATTAGATTTATGTGTCTTGCAGCGGCCGGAGGAGCGTGAGGATATCGATTATGCAACTGTAGGACGCTATGCGGTAATGGGCACCGCCATCTATGCCCCATCACTTTACGCTTGGTTCGTCTGTCTCACACTTAACATATGTAATGCACACTAACACATGCACACGCGCACGCACACGCACACACCTATAATAATACCAATGTATACATGTGCTTGTTGTGTCTGGGCAGCAAGCACCTTAATTGAACAACAACAACAACACACACATACATATTACCCCCCTCTCACTCTCTCTCTCCCTACTTAGTTTGTAAATTGTCGCATGTTTTTATTTCGTGGCTTCTTTCGTTTTTTTTTTTTTTTTTATCAATTTGTTTACTATATACTATTTGCAAAAGCTGCCCAGCACGTGTATGCCATCTAAGAGCACTTTAGTCCTCTCTTTCTTCACTCTCTTAAGCAGCACCGGCAAGAGCGCAAAGCTTTTGTGCATAAAGCTCCAGCAAAGCACGCTACGCACCGTCGAATGAGGCATATGTGCACGCTAATGCCACAGATATGTAAGTGTCGGATAAAGGCCACACGAAACACCATCTACAGATACAAAGATACACTTTGAGCCGATTGTTCACGTACATATAGTCCAAAGTTACACTAATCTCAAGCACTCTACGATGATTTTATTTTGTCACATATCTGCCTTGTCATCATTTCACATTTTTTTACATGCAATGCTCATTTCTCTGTGTTTATTGACTTGTCTCACATCCATCTCAGGTACAAATGGCTGGATGGCACTTTTCCTGGCACAATGAAGACAACGATTTTAAAAAAATTGCTGCTGGATCAGTTTATATTGACACCATATTGCTTGACATTATTTTATACAGGTGAGCAAAACCTTGTTAATCTTTTATAAGACTTATTCAAGTTCTTAAGTTTACCAAGAGTATGTCGAATAAAACTTCTTAATGATAATATAAATTATATAATATTTGACTAAACTAATAAAAAATATATATCCTTCTTTTGTAAACCTACGCAGGCATGGCTCTTATGGAGGGCTCTGAGGATACTTTTGAGGAGCTGCGCGCAAAATTCCTGCCAACTTTTATACGATCGTGTGCCTTTTGGTTGCCCGCACAGGCTCTCAATTTTATGTTCATAGCGCCAAGATTTCGCATTATCTATATGGGAGTATGTGGCATGATTTGGGTAAACATTTTGTGCTGGATAAAGCGACAGAGTCTGAGCACAGAGACAGCAACAACAACAGTAGGCGAGTGTAATGTCAAGGCGTGATTGGATTAGCTGGTAGCTTAACACATATAATACATATAGAGGTACATTTTGATATATATGTTTATATGTATATGTATATTTGATATAGTGCAAAGTAGCTTTGCCAAATAAATACATTCCAAATGCTAGATATGTGTACATACATACATAGAAATGTATTATTTAACCTGGGCACAAAATGCTGGGCAACACAGTGCGTATGATTGATGTTGTTATAAAAGGAAACCCATCAATTACTACTTATATATGCTGTCTGTGTGTGTGTGTGCGTGTGTGTGTGAGTTTGTGTATCTGTGTGAACATCACTTTGTGTGCTGCGTGAGTAAACGTGTTTAATTGTGTGCGTATGTGCGTAAATGTTTCATCAATATTTGTTACACAAACAACAACATTACAGCGCAGAGAGATGGCAACTATTTTGTGCCAGAACATGGTATAATATAATATAAAATAATATATGTAAGTAAGTTAGCCCGAAAAAGAATGTCCTAATGTATTTAACAGCTGCAGATGGAACGATATCTGCAAGCGGCTGAGTATGCAAAACTATCGTATGAAAGAAATACACATCGGGAATTGCTTGACGAAAAAAAGAATTTAATTAAATTGTTTTTTTTTTTTCGGGATTATATTTTAAAAATTAACTATATGTGCAAGGCTTATAACTTCTTAGGAAATTGACTATTGCTTAAAATTATAATTTGAAGATTATACGAAAGAGAAAATTAATAATTAGTTAATAATATATAAAAATATATTTAAATGAAATAATGAAATTAAATGACGTTTAAAGATTTATGCTCGGGAAAATCCTTCAGAAGGTAAACAATATATAGTTTTATTTAAATGGATAAGTTTTAAAATATTGACTATTTAAAATAAAGTTTTGGAGATCGGAAAAGGAAAAATAGTAAAAATATTATTTACAGTTAGTTGATTATTTATTAATATCCAATTCGAAATGATGTAAATGCGATTAAATAAGTCTAGATAGTTCTCTTTTCGTATATGATGTGTAAACGTATTATTTTCGCACTCTATCTTTCAATAAGAGATTTGAACTTCTAGAGAAAAGTATTTCATACAATGAATAAAAGCGTCTTTCGTGAAAATAGAATTCACTTTCTTCCTTTATTCCCTTTAAAAGTTCCTTCCATAAGTTCCTTGTGTATTCCAGAACACGTATTCTCCCTTTTTTTCTCCATTTCTCAGCCCAATGCTTAAACGATAGTCAAACTATCGCCCATCGCTATGAGCACAGGTCTTTCATCTCCCCGCCTGAGCTGCTAAACTAATTAGATGTTGCGTGCTTTATGTTCGTCTCATGTATTCCCCCCAATTCCATTTGTGTCCATGTGCGTCTGTTTAACTTATTGCTGTCTATTTAAATTGCAATTTGTCAATAGGCGTGTGTGCGCCCACAATTGCCCACGCCCAAGCAGAAGCAGCCACTACTCCGTTCTCTATACATATCTCCATCGTTCGCGTTGCTCGACTTAACGCTTAACGCTGGGCATACAATTAAACTTCTTGTACAGTCATTAACAGCCCATAACTTGGGCCAGCCTGTTCTTGGGCTAAACAGCTCGACAAGAACAAAATCAACAGAAGGTGTATGGGAAGGGGGCGGATGTGTCAGTGGGAGGTAGCCTAAGCCATTGCGGCTGGCCGTCTCCATTGGATCCCCGCCGCCCGAACGCCGAATGACTTTGACGTAGAAAACGTTCGCTGGTACTTTTTATTTACATCCGCTTGTTTGTTCAAAGCGGAAAATTAATTCCATCTTGGCTTGTTTCCGTTTATCTTGGAAAACGTATTCCTCGTGCCCGTCCGCGTCCTCGTCCTCGGCCTCGCCCTCGCCCTGGCCCAGGTCCACGTTCTGGCACTCGTCTATTCGCTCCACATCCCTGCTGCCCGTTTCGCTTTGTGCTGCTGCTTTACTTTTATTTTCGGCTGCGAAAACCAGCGAAATCTGCTGACCAACTGAAATTGTCTGCCCCTTCGCCCCAGCCGCCCATTTCTGTATTATTTCGTCGTCTATTTATGTACTTCATATACTTGCGGGCTTGTTCTGGCCACTTTTGAGCCCTGTGTACCCCCGAATTGGGTGTATTATAATATTGTCATAAGGTTTATTGGATGTTCAAATGGGTAATTGGATATCTTTTCAAATTTGTATGCTCATGGATCTTAAGAGATTTCAGTTATTTGGCATTTAGTAGCTTTTAATTTAGGACCAGAGCCCGAGCATGCGAAAAAGCCCAGTTGAGAATCGCAAAGAGAGGCTTTGACTTCTTTTAGGCTTTTAAACCCGTTCCTCAGAGCTTAGCTTACTTTATGTTTTAAAAACGTAACTAAACAATAATATCTTTGTTAAGCAATAAAAGTTTTGAAGAAGTTTAAACAAAGTTTGCTTCACTTTATTAATTATGTTCATCAAATAGTTTTAATTATTATTTATTTTCTTTATTTACAGCAAGTGCCTGGCAAAGTCAACTTTACTTAGGCAAGCATTTAAATGTTAACATTTCTTTTGTTCTTCTTTATTCAACTTGTAGCCAGAAAATGTGCAGAAAAGAAAGCTTTATAAGGTATAATGGCCCATAAGTCTAGAGGAGCGTAAAAAGAGCCAGCGCTTTAGTCAGGTTTATCTGATTTAAATGTTTTTTTTAAACAAGCGCAAGCTCTATAAATACTTTGTCACGATGTAGCCAACATTTTGAACAAAACAACTGTAAGTTTTTCGGCAAACTTTCACAGTTGCGGGTGGAATTTCCAATACCGATGAATTTGGTATTAATGAAGCTCTTATATAATAATAAGTTTGAAACCAATCCGACGAAACTTAAGACTTTTCTTTTAAAAAAGCTTTGAATTGCATTTTTTACAGAGATGCTTGGATTCTGCAAAAAGTGTTAAATACGTAAGAAATAATTTGTTCGTCAGGGGGAATTGATTTTGCGGGTAGTGTGAAACGTGCGTCAAATGAATTTGAATAAAGTTTCTTGAAAATGACTTTAAGGCCAATCAGCCAAAAAAAAGTAACCCATAAACGTTTTTCTTGATTAATTTAGAAAAACAAACACAGTTATGGTATGTTGAAGCAGTAGCTGCTGTGGCTGGCTGTTGAAGACCGTAAGAAGCTAATACTTACTAATGCTGCTTCATTTGATTCAATTACCGGAAGCATTCACCCAGCTGAGAATCACTTCTCGCCAGAGATCTCTGCGCTGGCTGTGTTTATCTTGTGCCACGCGGCGTAGAACTTGTTGTAATTACCGAGAGACCGAGACTGAGACCAAGACAAATAGAAAATGGCGCAAAAACGAGAAATTAATCAGCGTGCCGACTGTGGGGGGCGGATGTTGCGAGTGTTGATGGCGTGGGCGTGCCGCAGATTTGATGGAACCGGACGTAATGTGAAGCGCTCGGCAAATATGTATGTGCCCAAAAGTGTCCAGTGTTTGCCCAGTTTGATGGCCATGACGGCACTTTCACACGCGCCCAAGCGCCGCCGCATTATAATTTTAAACTACCCAATGGGAAAAGCACGCCCCCCCCCCGCCCCTTTTCCTACTCACACACAGACACACAGAGAGAGAGAGAGAGAGAGAGAGTCGGGCTCCCCGTTGCGGCACATTTGTTCGCCGGCATGTGAAAATTGATTGCTGTTGTTCATAGCTGCGGGATATGGCCAAAGTTTTTTAAGTTCCTCAAGCCGCGCTGCGTCGCGCCGCGTTCCCAGTTGCCCAGTTCCGTTCTTTATTTCGCCAACTGCTGTTGTAGCTGTTGTTGTTGTTGTTTTTGTCGGCGCTGAAAAGCTGAAAACAATGCGCATTCCGCTTGCGGCTCTGCTGCGCCTCGAATGGACTTTTCTTTTTTGTATTATTAAGAAAGTTTTGTATAGTATAAGTATTTTTTTTTTTTTTTTTTTGCTGCTGCTGTTTTTACCGGGGGTTGGAGTATATTTACATTTGGCAGTCGGTTGCGTTAAGCGGCTTGGGTTGCCATGGAGGAGCTCTGATGTCCTGCTCGGACGGGTCGCTGGGGTGGCAACACTCTGGCTGGCTGGCTGGCTGGCTGGTCAAAAAACTGGCTGCTGGTGCTGAAATTCTTAATACTCTGTTACCTTGCCGTGCAGACAATTTGATGGCCCAATGGGCGAAAAGCTGAACAAGTGTGTGCGGCGTGTTTTATAATTAAAATAAGATTGGGCAGGAAAAAAAAAAAAAACAAATGAATAATAAAAAACAAATAAATGCGGATAACTGTTGGCATGGCACCTATTAACGCATAAAGCTGTTGGCAGCCATTGTGAGTGGGCAATGCCAACAAGTACGGTGCGCTAAATCTTATTTTAAATTAATTATATTTTATTTACAAAAATGTACTTGCTCTATCATACATTGCGTTTGTTTCGCATAGAAACGAAAAACAAATAAATTGACAAGAAATAGGTATGGGCTTATGAGAATCGCATATAAAGGCTACATTTACAAAAATGTAGTAAGCGAGAGTGGAATCTGATTTAAAAAGGTAAGTGTATGAGGGAGTACGAGATATGCAGATAGAGAGAAAGATGGGGAGAGAGAGTAAGATAGAAGGAGTGATTGAAAGATAGATAGAGAGAGAGAGAGAGATAGAAGGGACGTCAACATACATTTCTTTACGCGAAAGAATTACTTTTGAGTGTCTTCTCACATATGAGCAAACAATATTATGAAAATCTTCAATTACTTAAGGTCATGAGAATCGCCAAGAAGGGCACACAAGAGAAGGAGTTACTTTTGAGCAACTGCTGGAAATTGGAGGGCATGAGCAGAGCATGTGAAGGCGACACGCGACCCGACATTATTTTTATGGTGCACGCAGCGCTTGGTCGACAGTTTTTGGGTTGATCTGCAATGGCATAAAATGCCGTCAAATTTTTACACGCACACACACAAAGCAAACACCTGCTGTCAAGCCCATCAAAAGCGCACGTAAATAAATAAAAAATAAAAATAATGATCATAAAAAAAGGTAGCCAAAGCGAAGCGGCGCTCTTGTTTGTTGTTTGCCGGCGGTCTGGCG